CGCGCGGCCCCGCGGCCTCCCGGCCTCGCCTCCGGCACGGCGGCACGCGCCGGCGGGCAGCGATTCACGGCGCCGAGCTGTGCGTCCTCGGTTCTCGGCCATGACGCGTTTAATTTCGTGACACCCCCACTGCCCTCCCCAGTGGGAGAGTCTACGATAGACAGCCAGGAAAATGGAAGTTAATAATAGTGATAAATAGGAAGAAAATCCATGTCTGTACCACGATACTCCCCAGCGCTGTTGGCAGCCCTAGGAACCATTTAACGTAATGCCCTATTTTTAAACCTCGTGGTCGACGTGGCACTTAAACCAGGGCAGCAGCTTCTCGGTGTGCCCAGCCCCGCTGCAAGGGAAGCAGAAGCTGCACGGGCACCTTGAGGAAAGAGCCGGTAGCAAATACAAGTGGTAATGTTATTTGTTGATGGTCAAGCTCTCAAAATAGTGTTTTTGACATCCTAACTCTGTGGGAGGGGGGGAGAGGTGAAGGAATAAGCCACTCCGTGCCACCGGGCTGCTATAGCTGCCCCTAGGCTGCCTGCCCATCGTCATGCCTTTGTGGCTTGTTAATGCTTACATGCCTTAGAAAGTGGGGAAAACCTTCATGTGGTATCACACTTTTATGGTTAATTTGCTCATTTGTGTAGCCACAAACATACAGGAAAAGATGTGGCCAACTCCATGTGCAACATTCAGGGAGTGGAAGATGATTCAGCTCTGTGCTATTTTTTTTCTTCCATAATGCTGTTTTCCAGATAGGTGGATAAATCATTGCAAAATAATCTTTTTCATCTTGAGGGGGTATGGTAAAATAATGCAACAAGCTGACCTGCCAGAATGTTAGTAACAGGAGTGCATGGATCTTTGCATGATGCTCACAGTCTGGTGATTAGTGATAGTTTCATGCACTTCTGTAATGTGCCAGTTATGGCTTGTGGAAGTTTGTGACTAAAGCATGCTCAAGAACTGCTTTCCTATTTTTCTGAAAACCTGTCTGCTTACATTTTGTCCTGAAAACCTATGAGTACTCTTCCGTTTATAAACAGAATGGAGTTAGAGGTGTGAGGAATGTTATTTATCCCCCCAAAATGGAAAGGCTGTTAGAAATTGAATAGTTTACAGCACACTGAGTAAAAAAATACAAAAAGTATGTCTTAATTTTTGCTACATATGTAAAAAAAGAAAAAATATTTATTTAGCTGCAGATAAACTAGGAGGTTGGTAGCAGTCTTTCCCTTGCAGTGTTTTTTGCATTCTACGGATTTCTTATGATGAATGACTGTTGATTTGAGCCTCTTTTCCAGGAGCTTGCCTGAATGTACAAGCCATAATAGTCACGTATGCACTTTGAAAAGTTTTGTATTTTGTATGGGTGGGCTTTCAAATAGCGTTAGGGGAAAGAAACTCCAGGACTAAGAGGCAAAACCACCTGAACAACAGTCCACAAGGAAATTAGAGAATAAAAAAAGCACACAGTTAAGTTTGCTGCAGTTCGTAAAAACCATAAATTCTGTGCTTTGGCCTAAATATCATGTGTATAACTGCAAGGCAAGAGAGACATTGCCTAGGGATGCCCTGGGAAAGCCGCTAAAAACTGCACCCTTGAGCCAGTAATAGGTCTGTGACTCTCCCATCCGTGTGCTCTGTCACCAGCACACACATTCCTTCCTTGTCCTCAGCTTCTGTAATTACACTCCGATTTAAAATCTAAGTCACTAAATGCAAATCTGAGTTTTATGTTTAAGTGTCTATTGAAGGAAAGTAGCTCCTACAGCTATGAGATGAAGAAGCAGAGCTTGCAGCTCCTGCTTCTCTTGCAGAACATTATCCTGGTGGATTATCTGTCAAGATATCAACGTGGTGAGCGAAGTCTTTTCTGTTTCTCTCACTTCCTTCTACTACTGCTGCTGCCACCTTTTCTTACTTTTGTCATTTTTTTCTCTTAATGCTTTTTTTCCTAACTTCTATAGGTTTGTTCATTGCTTCACAATACATAATCATCACAAAAAAAAAAAAAAAAAAAAAAGTGCCATACTATTTCTTTGGAAAATCTGAAGCTTGAGGTAGTTTGTGTATCCTCATGCATGGTTCTCATAGGGCTGAAGGCTGTGGTGCAGAGAAGGAGACTGGAAACTATAATAAAAGATAAATTCTTTTCTCTTGTACTAAAAATCTTAGTTACTGTAAAAATATAAGATGATGATTAATTGGAACTCTGTTCGTTACTAACCCAGTAGGGTGATTATATGGCAGTTAAACGTTTTACGGAGTTTCTTTTTCACATCAGCAAGGTGTTTTGTTTGAATTCCAGTAGGCATAATAACCTCCTGTTCTTCAAAGCTGCTTAAACTGAGTTTGGGGAAAAAGTGAAGTAATACTTGCAAATAGCATTTAATCATATATGTTGGTGGCATTCCTGTAAAAATCAAGCACAACATGATTTTTTTCTACTTCTGAATTGGTACAGAATTGTTTTGTGTTGGGCTGCTATGTGTCTGGTGTTGTTTAGATAATACACAGTTGTATTCCACCTTAAGCAACAGTATACAAATTCAGAAGATAATTGTGCTAACTGTGCAAGACAATCATTAAGTCTTCTAAAAAGGCTTTAAATTCTGTCGATCCCGGGAAAGTCGTATTGCAATATACAAGCCGTTTTCCCCAAACTCCATAGTCCTAGGGGAACTGTACAGAATAGTACTTTATTTCTAGAGAGTTCATGTGATTTTGTGGCCTTCCGTGTGAACTGCAAAAGTAGTAATTGACAGTGAAGATTTGTCCCTCATTATTTATCTTCCATAGCTAGACCATATCTAAACAAGACAATTACTTGACATTTTTGCATTATCTGTGAAGGATGGATACATTTCTGCTGGCAGGTACTGGTTATGGTAGCTAATTCAGGAGAAAGCTCTGTTCTCACTTACGTCTGTGGCAGTTGTTAATATACCTCCATGGGAATGGAGGGTTAATGTAAAAGACCCTGTTTTCATAGCAGTCTAAACTGCTGTAATTGTTAGTGACAGGGGTCCATACATCCCCAGAGAACCATTCCTTGCATTGCGCCAGCTGCAGTGCTTGTCAGACCTCTCCCTCAGCCATTTCACTGTGTTGAGTCTGCAGAAAACTAACCTGACAAAACAGCAAATAATTTTGTGCTTACTGTGCAGAGTCCCGTGCGTACAGGAGCTGTTGCAAGCGAGACAGAGGCAGCCAGAAGCCAGATGGATTTACGGTGCCAGAGCTCTTATTTCACATTGCTCAGGAATGTATGGTCTTGGTTGAGCAATTTGCTTAACTGTAAACTGAAGTAATCCCACTCCCATGTCAGGGCTGCTTGCTAGCAGAACTGCAAAGAACTGCTACTATCTTCACCTCTATAATGGTCTTAAGTATTAATACATATGGCCCCCAGCCAGTCTAGTCCGCTTAAAAAAATGTTATCTTTAAGTTATAGCAGCTTTCTGGAAGTCACAGTGAAACCCTGGGCATAAATTATGAATGTGGCTTTCAGTACTCTTTTCCAAACCCGCAACTCTATTGTCTTTTTGAAAAATGTATGAATTTGCTAACAGCTTCTTCTTTCCATCCAGTCACCCATCACAGAAATGAAAAGGCATAAAAGAAAGCCATATAACATACTTGGCAGTTATGATAACTTTTTAATGTTGATTCATACTTTGTTTCAAAAGGAGGTTTGTCGTCAGCAGGGCTTTAGTTTTTATTTACATTATTATCAGAGTGTTGTCAAAATAATATCTAATATAAAATAGTTCTGTTATCCCTAGTGACTATATTGAGCATTGAGGTAATTAATTTAGAAAATAAATGAATGGGAACTAGTAATAGTAGACCAACTTATCCAACTTATCCTAACAAGGACACACTAATCAAATAGCAGGAGTTACTGTGCAGAGACAGCTTAAAGCACACATCACTGCTCTTTGCAGACACGTTACTGATGTTATGTTTTGTCATAATAACAGTTTTTACTACTATTTGTAAAATCAAAACTACTAATATTACTATAAAACAGCCATGCAGTGTGCCATACATACAAACTATTGCTAATAGCTTCAGTGAGGTGCGAAGTGCTTTGGTCTTTACTTCAGCACAAAGGCCACAGGTGACAGCATGTTAAAAGCAGTAAGAATCCATTGTATGTGCAGCCTATAGAGCAAGAAATGGCAAAGCAGCCGTGCAGGCTAAATCCTGCGGTTCTATGACTGTTATTACAAGCCTTCAAGTTTTAATGTGAAAGCTGTACTTAATAAATAATCAGAGCATTTTGGCTAGTCAGGGTTGATTGCCATTTTTACTTTTGTACCTAAGCGCTGTAACTGCCAGTGACCAGCAGGTGACAGTGTTCCTGAAGATTAGCACCGTGTCTCTCAAGCGTCACTGGCAGGATTACAAATGCAAACCTAAACCCATGATGGGATGAGAGTTTAAAAACATTCAGGCCAGGGAACTGTAAAAAATTAAAGCTTCTATATCAATTGTAGATCAGGGTCCTTCTGTGTATAAAATACATGCTGCTGCAAGTAACTTGCTGGATATCAGTGGCTGGTTTTGACTATTTTCTATGTACTTATTTTCTGCATTTATTCACTATTATATACAGAAAATATAGTTATATTTTCTGTATTCCCTGTATTTTCTGTGTACTAATATATTCATCTGTGCTTCTCAGTTATTGATCTGTTGGAAGTGAAGAAATAAATGAGCAAAAAGACTTCATTACTGGCTATTTGAATGCCAATAGTGCCTTAAGGAAGAGCTGGATTTGTGGAATTGTTCTAAGAGCACAAGGCTATGAACAGAGCAAGGGCAGTGTCTGAGAAAGCCGAATGGCTGCCTGAAGACAGCAGTCGTCGTTGCAGCTGAGAAGAGGAATTAACTCACTTCCCAGCAAGGAAAAGCTGTCAGGCTTTGCTGCTCTATCCTGTGGGAGGAAATGGGAGCTCTCTGCTCTACTGGGAAAGCTGTTCCAAGATTATGTTTCATACCACACACCTCTTTCCAAAAGTACAAAGTGCAAGCTCAGGCAGTTAAGACTACTAAGAACTACTGCAGTGAGCAGGCTCACTAGCTGGAACAGCAGTGGAGAAAAATTATTTACCAAGGCATCAAAAAGGCCAGTGCAGGTCCACACTGTATGGAGAGAGGTGTCAGTGCCTGCAAAGGCCATGCAAGAACTTGTCTGCAATGCTGATTATGATCCCGTGGCAAAGGAGGGATGTTCTGGTGACCAGGAAATGCACAGCCAGTTTTAGGAGAGCTAGCAAGTGGCCATTTGCTTGGAAAACTGAAAGCAGGAAGAGAGAGAATGCTCTCTATAAACACACCAAGGGGATACGGGCATTGAGAAAGAAGGGCTCAAGGATGCTGGCGTAAGAGCAAATGAGTGTAAACTGTTCATGAATAAAATTAAGTTTGAAATTAAATAGAAGGTAACAATTAAGGGAACAAGATTTTGGAACTTGCATCTGAGCAGTCTACAAGTAACAATGGCAAAAACATATGTTCCTCTAAGGAGTGAATCCTTTTATGAGTGGGAGTGTAAGAAACAGAAATTTAAACTCAGGGGACTGGATTTGATCCTGCAAGAATCTTAGTGTCCTGAAATAAAAAACGTTAAGAAGAGCTCATCACTTTTTTTCTAATTTCTTCAGTGGCCGCCTCTTTGGCTGGTGTGTAGAAATCCTCCCCTTAAGCCTTGTCCACTTTAATCATTGCACTTTCTTTAAAAGTTCTGGATTCCACAAAAAGTGATCCTATAAAACAGTGATATAAAAACTAGTCATGAGTTTTAAATTAGCTTATGAGACACCCTCATTTGAGTACCTTTGTCCTTCCCTTTTTAATTACTGTGTATATATATATATATAATATGTGTAAGAAACATATCTAGAGAGAGAAAAGAATTTACGCATGAAAGTCGAGTTTCCTAATAGTCCGAGGGAAGTGGGTTGTACTCCCAGTTCTCCCACTGACCCTGGACAAGTGACTTTGCCTCTTTATTCTGTGGATGTTTTAAGCTAGAGCAGTGACACTATCCAGTTCTTGGCAAACACATGGTTAGTTTTCCTCTTTGCCTGCCAAGTGCTGATACAAGGGTCAAAGGAATGACTACTTAGATAAATACTTTTTAAGAATACAGAGCTATACATTCATAAAACTTGATTATCTCCCAGCTGGAATTTTTCTGATTCCATTACCATATTTTCCCCTGAAGCACCACCATTAAGAAGAAATGATTTGACTTAATCAATTCTAATCAGCAAGCCTAAATATACATGCAAAGGTCTAGAGTTGGGAGGAACTAAAAAAAAAAAAAGAAAAAAAACTACTTTAATTTGTGTGTTCCCTTTAGGTAAAGGGCAGAAGGTTGAAAACCACATCAATAGAGATGCTCTGCCAAGAAGAAATCACTGCTGTGAAGGTCCCTGAGTCAGAGTATCACAGTTTTTTAAAGAGAAGAATTGAATAGCACTTGCAACTACCAAGGTGAGCAGCTGTTTTAAGGAGAAACAGAACATATTTTTCCCAGTTACAATACAGCATTAGTTCTTTATGGAAAACATTCATTTTGCAGTATCAAGTATATGAAACAGATTGATGCAGAATACAGAAACCAGTGATTTAGGGATAACTGTGATAATTCCCTGCATCAGTTTGTAGACTCTACTATTGCTAAAGAGAACAAATAGGCACCTTTGAAGAAAATATACATGTCCTGACACAAATTCAGAACATGTGAAAAACACAAAGATAGTGGTTTTTTGTAGCTAGATCTATCAATTAGTACTTTGGTTCAGGACTTGTGAAGGTTATAACAGAGCTAGGCACCAATTTTAGATAAGGAATTTGTCAACATTCAAGCTGATATCCTGGTCTTGTGATACTGTTGCTTGAGTATTTTCACAGTGTAAATTCCCTCCTACTTTTCTTTTTTTTTTTTTTTTTTTTTTTTTNTTTTTTTTTTTTTTTTTTTGAGGAAAGGCCTTCTCACCCTCCTTAGTTCTTCTTTCTGGCTTCAAGAGTTCTAATATGAGCTCTCCCAACCTCAGAGGAGGATGGAATATCTGGTTGAAGAGACCCAAGGGCTTTAGGCCTGAAATTCCTTTTATGTCTGACCTACTTCTCAATGACAAGCCCATAGGGCAGTTCTAAATAAAGAAGAGTTACTTATCTTTCAGTTGAAAATAATGAATACTTCATTACTTCTCCTGAATTACCATAGGGGCAGAATTATTATTCTGTGTTGATTTAAATACATAATATCTAGATTTCTTGAAATGCTTTAGAAACAAAAGCTAGGTAGGTCTGATAATATGTCCATAAAATAAACTCGGGTGATTTTACTCAAGTGAATTACTCGGGAGTCAAATGAATTCCTGACAACACCAATGATTTGTATAGTAAAGCAGAGCAACTCAGTGGTAGACAGAGGAGGTGGAACATGTACTTGGATACTGCTTTTAGATCTATAATTAAAAATATTTGCATCCTTGCAGTCTAGAAGACATCCTTACTTAATTACATACACGCATAATGAAGAAAGATCCCTTCCCTAACTGTGTTCTTATACTGTTTCACCATCTCTAGGAGCAGAGCTGCATGGAAAGATGACAGCCACTGCCATGCCACTTCGTTAGTATTCCTAACTCCCTAGCACAGAAATACTGACAGTGCAGAATCTTAAGCATGAAGATTCTGATCATGAAGATCATTATCTTAATGATCAGATTTTGAAGATGATGATCTTCATCTTCATCATCACTTCTTCAGAAAACTATTATTTAAATGAAAGCTATTTTCAAGCTGATCAGATTGCCCCAAGTAACTAACAATTTTGAATCTTCATCTATCAACATGCACTATTTCAAATTAGATTCTAATCATGGTCATTCTCCTTCTGTCTTAAGCTTTGCTTACTTTATTTTTTCACTTTGATTCTACACTGTCTCACATATATGAAGTTTTAGCTTGCTTATTCCAAAACAGGCCAGAGACACAGGGTTTGACTTAGTAAATATGAGGAACAGATCATCACATAGTTGTGTTTCATTATTAAAATATTCCTTGTTAATGAGTGTATCTATTAAAATGGACCACATATCTTGTAAATAGAAAATACCAGATTTCCAACAATCCAAAGCAAACTCTAATGCCTGTAATTGAAGGATTTCAGTGTTAGGTGTAGAGAGGAAAAACCTGCTTCAAAGAAAGCATCCGTACAGAAAAGTGACAAGTCTTCACACGAGTATCTCATCTGCTAATTTGCCTTAAACCAGCCGTACTTTTCTGTACCTCTAGTTTGTTTAGAGTGTGGCGTAAATTTTTCCTGTCATGTGTACCTGCTCACCACGCTGCAGTTCCCAAGGCCGATCTGCCCTGAAAGCAGCTGTGCTGCCTGGCTCTAGGCTGCACGTTGCTGCTCCTCCTCCTGTCAAAGCCCAGGCAAATGTAGGTAGTCACACATCGGGGATGATCTCAGGACCTGAACATCTGAAAACTTTTTTTGCTGGGTCTTTTTTGTGAGCCAGTTTTGGCTAAGATGGATTACAGGCTCAAGTAGGATCAAAGAGAGAATTGCATGCAGGAGGCCAAAGCCTCTGCAAGCTCTCTTTCTGCAATGAAAAACCCTACGCAGCTGAGGAGGTTTTATTATTTTCTGATAATATATTCAAGGGTGACTAGAGATGACTTCAGAGTTTTGCAGCTAGTTCCCAGTTTTCAGAGATGCTCAGTCTGGGGTTTTAGTTAAGCTTGCAATAGAAGTAAACGTGTACTGTAAATATCCGGGCTTAGTCACATGTAGGGGCGTTGATGCTACACAGTACCCTTCATGCTATATAAACATGAATAATACAGCAACAAATGCGCAATTATTAGACAGTGCTGTTGTCAATATTCAATAGCACAATGTCTCTTTTCTACTTTGGAGCTTAAAGTGGTTTTGATTGCACATCTATGTCATTGTACTCCTTGATATAAGAATCTGAAATTGTAATTAAATCTGTTTTTCTGACTGATGGCATTCAGCTGAGAAAGTGACAAAATATATTGCATCAGACTGCATTTTCCATCATAAATGAACAGATGATACAGATAATATCATTTGTTGACCCAAGTACGGTAAAAATATTTAAAATTAGAAGAGCAAACTGTTTGGGGTTCTAAATTATTTTAATGGTCCCCTATATGCAGACTGTAAAGATAAAGTCTTCTACTTTGGAATGCAGAAAATGAGACTAGAAAAAAAACAGATATGGCAAAATAGAATTTTAAATTCTCCTGAATTAGAACATGCATCTTTTGTCAAACTCTTTAACACTAGCAACTTCGTGAAGATAACCATGAACAGATTCTCAATTCCATTCTGCGTAATCACTTTCAACCTGCAATTTCTGTGTAAAATGCTTTGAGTCTGATATGATCCGACACTTTTACAGGTGCAGAGATGTACATGATTATGCAGGATGCCGTGCAATAGGATCTCAAGCTGTTACACCCAGGCAAACTTGGATCACTCTCAGTTGACCTCCGCTCCTCCGGCACTTGAGACTTCATGTGTGGTAACGCGGTGGGGGATGCGACAGAGATGAACTGAGGAGGACTCTGCATCAGTATTGAACTACATTCAGGGCCCTTGGGTCACTTAGAGGTCATGGAAGCTGAGATGTAGGAAGGCAGTAGCAATTCTGCAAATTACAGCTTGGGACTACAACAGAAAGCAAATAACTTGGCAATAAAAAAAGCAAAACAAATGCATCATGTTCTTACTCTGGGTAAACTGCAGCATTTCAAGCAATTGAGTCCTATTTTCAACACGGTCAGGCCCTTCCTAGGAAATCAGGAGCCATACTGTGAGGTCCTTATTCAGATTAGCAGTAATTTGGGTAAGTAATGCTAGGGAAGTGAATGAGGATGATGATGCAAGTCACTGCTTACCAAAAACTTTGCAGCATGACTTCTAACTCTATGAATCTTTTATATTAGACACATGTAATAATACTCAGAGAAGCACTACACTTATTTTCTGATCTTAGATGAAAGCCTTGACCTTGCATTCAGGTAGAGGGACTGCTGTGGATACGTGGGGTGGAATACGCAGAGCTCACTGAAACACTTGAAATGTAATTTTGTGTCCTGTCATTTCCATGTGTCACATGTTGTGCATCTGTATTTTCCTTTTAACTACCCAATATAATATGAAATATTATTTCATCCTTTCATACTCTTGACACATCTGTTCATCTCATTCTTCAGTATAAAATGGTGTGATCCAAAGTACTAAGATAATTTTGCAGTTAGAATTTTGCTCAGAGGATATAATTTCATTATTTAGTAGAGCACTAAGAAAAAAGCTCATTATAATCAAGAAAAAAAAAGTCTCACAACCATTGCAACCAGTTGCATTCCATCAACATACTATAAATATGCCCACAAGCACTTAAAAGGAAGGCATAACTTCCTTTTGGCTTTATTCAGATACTGTAATAAAGATAAACTTGCTGTCGTAATGCATTAACTATTGCCATGCTCTTTTATAATTTCTGTTCAGAGTATTCTCTAAATCATCTAATGGCTTGTACTGAAAATAATTCAGGCAGTAGTTTTTGCCTTTTTTAGAAGTCACTTTCATTCTCTAAATTTAATCTGACTGTATGCAATATGGAGGTTCATACATTAATTTTATTATTCCAAAATACTTTTCCAGATACTTAATTATTTACAGTGTAGCGGTCCAAACATTTGCTAGTCCACAAGGGACAATTACCAGTGTGTAATGCATTGCAGCAACAATGCAATCGGATTTTCTTCTTGTCATCCTTAGTTACAGACTTTTCTTATAGCCATGAGCAGTGCTTGGAAGTCTCATTCCATGGTGCCCACGAGCGATGGCTCTGGTTCTTCGGGTTCGGGTTCGGGTTTGTTTTGCATGTGCTCAAGCATGAGCCACATGGGAAGGTCACGTAGAGAAGAGCAACTGTGCAGCAATACAGAGGAGCAGCACTGCTGATCCTGAGCACACAGAGCAGAGAGATATAAAATATCCTACATTGCTAACACCTCACGCTCTGCAACCACGAAGCTTTCAAGCAGTTTTGGAAGCAATTCCTCTTATTTAAACACCCTGAAAAGCTTCAGAATCAATCTGGTACTTTTCTAGAGATCAAAGGATAATTGCTAAATCAGTATAATAGCTAGTCTCCAAAACCAAACTGGAAAAACAGAGATCATCCAGGTAAACAAAACAGTTGCTCAACGCAAGGTTCAAAGCAAAACACAGAGGCAAGTGATGGACTGCAAACAAAATCTGGAACAGACAGACAGGTACATGGTGAATTTTCAAATCGCTCTTGGTCTAAATATAAATAAAACTTAAGAATTTTAAGTATAAAGACTGCAGTCTTTCTTTTTTTTAGCACTAATTTTTCATACAAATAAATCCATGATGTTTTTCTTCATTCAGAGAGACACTACCAAAACACAAGCAGAAAGGATCAGAACGAAAGTTTTGTTATATGGTGCAAAGAAAACAATGAAGGTAGACAGCACCACCTTAGGTGTACTTGAGAAGATCACCACTACCCACAAGGGATGGTAACTCCTATGAAATAAATCCTTTTAATAAAAATTAGTTCTGGTTAGTGAAACTCATTTAGCTCTTGCTCAAGTAGAAAAATTCTGTTGTTTTGTTAATTTAGCACAAGACTAGGACTGTTAAATGCTGAGGCTGCTCAAAGATAGGTGTAAAATACAGAGAAAACAGAGTTTTTGATCCAGTGTGTCCAGAGAGAACAATTTTTAGCTGGGGACAGAGAAGAATACAAATACCGAATAGATTTTAATAGCCTTTTTTTAAAGACCTTAGTTAAAAAAATGATAAATTAACCAGTCAACACAGTAAATACTGCTGTGTTTTAAACAGAATTACTTGCATCTTAACATCGTTATAAACTGTGTTCTTGAAATTGTTAAGTTCTTACGTATGTTTTTGTTTGTTGACATACCTAGACGAAAGAAGTGTAAATACTGAGAATATGAACTATGAAGAGCATTCTGAACACAGGACTGAAAGCCAGGCCTCATAGTGCAAATACAGAAGGAAGGCAATTAGAAAATCACTGTGGAGGTAACAGCACAGGACAGAGAAATGCCAGCAGTGGCATTAGAGGTGCAAATACTGGGTGCACCAGTGTAATGACCGTATAAAAGTTGCTGAACGGAGGCGCAGTGCGTTGTTCTAAAACTGAACGTATCCGCCTCGGGAGCAGGAGCTGAGGGCCGTGGCGGTTCCGCCAGGAAACGGGCAAAGCCTGACAAGGCAGCGCACGTCTCACGTACGCAGCTCTGCCACTATTCAAATTTCTTCTCAGGACATGTAAAAGAAGTAAAGCAGACACGGGCAGGAGGCTGCGATGGTGGCAGCGAGGGAGTAACGCAGCAGCACGGAGCACTTCTGAGTGCACTTGCTCTCCTTGGATATTACAGCCTGTTTGGGACTCCGTTTAGCCTAATTTTAATACTAAATTTACTAGCATTCAGTTGTATTTTATACACACATGAATGTGTATATAAGGATATAAATAAGAGTCTGAATTTTTGTTGGTGATTTGAAAGATACTTTAATATTTATTTTTAGCCTTAAATAATTAAAGAATGTGGTGTTTATAAAAAGTAGGAAAACTGATTTTTTTTTTATAGTTGTAAAAGCTAAAGACTTGATTCTTTGAGAGTTTTTCTGTGAAAGAACTAAAGTAAAAACCACCAGGAAAAAAAGAAATCCGTGTTTACTGTGCCATTGTCAGGATACTACTTGTGCTCTTTGCTGCCGTGCAGAGAGTTTAGGGGGAGAGGGACTTCTGGGGAGATTGGATTATTTTTTCCTGAACTTCCAGGCCCCGCAGGCCCCAGTCTCGGCCCCTGTAAGCCCACAGCCTTATTTCCCTCTCCCTCCTCCCTTGCTCCCTGTAATGAAGGCTCTCCCTGCCAAGCAGTGGCCTCGTTACAATTGTGTAATCTCCTTTTTCAAAAGTGATGCCCTCGGTGACACTTGCGGCAAGCCAAGCCGCGGCTGTGCGAGTCACCGAGCGGCTCTCCAGCTGCGTGCCAATGAACAGGTCTGCCCAAGAGAGCTGCCCCAGCATGTGTGCTCTCTCCTCCTCCTCTCCCAGCTGAGCTGCTCAGGGCAGTCAGTAAGAGTGTAAAATATTCATACGTGAATCATCTCCAAAGTTACGGGATTTCCTTTTGATTGCTACAGAAGTGCTGACCAACGCTGTGAGGCCACTCCGCAGAGTTAAGTCATGCCTGGAAATAGAATTGCTCTGGATATATTTGGAGTTGCATCTGTTGCTTTTAGAGTGTTTTTACATTTGGTCACCAGCCTAGAAACAATATTAGACAGCTCCTTTTTCTTGCGTCACCTGCAGTTTTGTTTATTCGGTTACAGTCAGTTTTACTTTTGCTAACAAAACTCAAGAAGGCCCATGGGGTGCATGGGTGTAATTCAGGACTCTCATGAACAATTATGATTATTTATCTCTAGAAAAGCAAACAAAACCTTAGATAAACCATAAAAAAAAAATCCTTAGTTCAAATATCTTTTGTTTATGTAACAAATAAGTAGGGGGCAATGTTAAAGCTTTTTACAGAGTAGAACTGCAGTTGTCATATGCAAGCACACAAACTTGTTTCCACTCACAAAGTCCAGAACTTAACAGCATTAAAAATATAGAATTGAAATTTCTGCAAAAGCCAAGTAATCTCTGATTAAAAGCTTTACATGCAACACAATTAAGGGAACATTATCGACTTAGCTTAATAAATAAATACTTTGAAATTATATATCCAGTTTTTAGTTCTTCAGCCAGTTTTGCAGTGTTAGGGCTTTCATAGTGTTCTTGTATTTTTATTCTGTGGAAATGTACAAGATCTGTATGTTGTCATAAGAGAGACTGAAAAGGGATATGCTATTTTACAATACTGTATAAAGTAAAAATCTAAATGAAAGAGAAACGTCACATGTTAAACTTTACAGACAAGCAAGGCATGGTTTAAGCAAAGCTGTATTTAAATGAAATATGAGTATTTCTGTGTTTTATTTTCCTGCATTTTTCTTCCTTCTCCCTGTTTTCTAAGTATTCAAATTCTGTTTTGCAGCATTTCTCTGTCATCTTAAGACACAGGAACTTACCTTTTTTCCACCACTTTTATAGTATGATATTATTAACATGTCAAGGATTTGAGCTATTCTTAGCTTTAAAGATAATCTGGCGAAGTTGGTTTTGTCCTAGATTTTGGATAAATGCACCTTATAAGCAAGTGTTATTTTACTACTGGTCTTGCAGAAACTCTAACACATGCTGGATTTCAGTAGTGGTAGATGAAATTATTAAACTAAATTTGATTAACTCTGATGGGCTGTTTCTTTCAGGAGTGCCGAGCATCCACTGACTGAAGTTGTTGTGTCTGCTCAGGACCTGGGAAAATGTGGACCAGAAGTGAGAGAGCAGGACATGACCAGGAAGATAAGAAGATCCAATTGATGGGCTTTTATGAGCAATATGGGCATTTGTCAAAAGCGTGGGTTTGAACTTAACAAATTTAAAACTCAAATTTCATTGTCTCTGGCTCCTTCCGTTTAACAGCACTTGTATGAGGGACGCCCCACCGCCCCACCTTGCCTTCGAGGCATTAGGCAGAGAGCAGTGTCAGGCACAGGCAGAGGGAGAAGCAGAGGCAGCAAGCAGCAGCATGCAGCCAACAGGCTCGATACCGGTGGAAAAGATGCACCTCCTTTCAGTGGGGTTTCAGCTATTCCTTTTGGTAGGTTTTTAAACGCATTGGAAGAAGGGTCAGCTTTGCTGCTGGAGAAAATGAGGTGACGTGTCCAGGCGAAAGCCACTTCTGCTCAACGGATTCTCTGTGCACTTGGGATTTTGAAGAAAACTGTAAAGGAGTGGTGCTTTAGGTAAGAATCAGAAGTTAGTATTTTAATTATTGTATTTTCTTTAGAATACAAAACACATAAATATGTGTTAGTTATTAATAATTAACCTAGTGAGAACACTATAACATGCAAGTTAATTTGGCTTTTGTGGGTAGCAGGCATAGAAGACTTCTCGTAATTGCCTATTAGATTTTAACACATTATAAAACCTCAATGTATTGAAAAGTCATGTTTAAACTTGGCACGCTAATAACACTTCTATAAATTAAAAAAAAATGTAACAGTGGGAAGAAAAGTGACTAACATGAGTATACAGTAAAAGAGCCATCTGTTTAGTCACTTATGCTTAACTTAGACTCTCTCTTGAGTTTTGCAGATCCAAGGCAACTATGTAAGAGTGAGGTGATTTACTATGTGTGGCCTGTGTATCATCAGTAAAATTAAATAGCATCAACACAATCTCTTTTTGTGGATATGTAACACACGAAGAACAGATCATGATTTCAGATACCAGACTGAGTTTTGAAGACTAGTATTTAGGATAAGTAACTGTCAGTATTTCCGTATGTATCAAGCAGAACATAAGTGCATTTAGAAATACATCTATCAAGCCTGTAAGGATAATCATACTTGGCTCTCAAGTTGTTTTTACCTTAGAATAATAACGAAAAGCTCTATATTAAAATTAAATGTACTCCTATGTATAATATAAAAAAACCTTCATTTTTAAAAATCTTTTTTTCAGAATAAAGTTTCACTTAATTAAAATAAAAATAATTTGTCACAAACTCTCACAAAATCTCGCTATAAATTATGTGCATAAAACATATTATTACAGCCATTATCTGATTTCTAAAAGACTGGTGACAAATATTAGTAATCAAAACAGTGTGAAAGTGCAGTTTTCTCCTTTCAGTTATTCTGTCAAGTAACAAATCCATGGAGAAAGCAGGTGTTTTCCACAAAATCTTTTACTTAATTAGAACTCCAGAGTTCTGGAAAACCCTGGAACCCCAAATTTGAGTTAGCCTGACCCATAGCCCTTACAGCCTAACTTTTCCCTGCAGAGCATGGAAAGGGTCTGCGCCAGAACTCATGCAGTTCTGCTGCTGGAGAGCGCTAAGACTTAGGGCTGCAAATACTCATCAAAGTGCATCCTACGTGCATAAATTCCTACCTACATCACAGAATTTGGCACTAATGAGGGTCAAAAAGGGGAAAGGAAAGGCTGAATGAAGGTCATTGCGTAAGCTGTTACCTCGCTCTTCCGTCTAGGTAATGTGAGCACCTACAAGAACAGCTGTGAAATTTGCACGTCCCTGTATCACACATGCAGGCAGCTGGACACATTTCTTTTTATTTTTCTCTCCTCTATTAGATAAATATATTTTTATTTATGCAAAAATACAGAGGAAGCCTGGTAATAAATAGTCCCTCCAGACACTCATGTTCTACAAAAGATTGAAACAAGAAGGAATTTCATGTTTATGTTCAGCACACAACCTGCATGCATTCCGTTTTACAGCTGTTTAAAATATTCTATTAAAGGATAAGGTTGTTTCCCATCATTTCACTGATGTTATCCAACCTTTTGCCTCTTACTTTGACTGTAACTGAAAACCAGCATTACTTTGGATAATGCCAAGTGCTTCAACAGAGATGGTTGTGAATTTTTTAAAAGTATTTTTGTTTGCCACAGAATTACTGATTCTTTTGCTACATCTGCCAATGAAGTGAGTATATTTTCCAGTAGATAGAAATATATTTCGCTTGTCTAGTCAGCAAATTATAGACTGGCAATGCAGTACATCACTGTATGAGAGGAAGGCAATGTTGTTTTCCTCATATATGTATTTTTTGATTATCAATGCTGAGCCTGAAAAAACATTTATTTAATGTGTTGTTGGCTGTGCATTTGATGAATGAAGCGTCATTCAAGCAAGTGTTCAGGAGAAGTTAAACATCTCATATAAGAACAATAACCCAATAACAAATCTGAAAAGAAAAAAAGAAGTTACCACTCTTTACCATAAAAAATGTAAAATTTTGCCTTTTGTTCCAGTGCAGCCCACAAAGTTAATTTTCTGCTTGTCACGGTGCAGTGTTTTAACACCGTTTTTGTGGGGAGAAGGGAACAAACATCTAACAACGCTGGCCATCTCTTGAAGAGGGTCTGCTGCTTACAGGTAAAAAAGTGGCCTCAAAGCAACTGTTGAGTGATGGTGTCTGTAGTGAGAAGATGGGAACTGCAGGAAAGGAAGGAGACAAAACGGGAAGAGAAGGAAGTGGAGGGTTGTGGTGAGAACTTTCCAAAACGATACATTGCACCAGACTGTCTCCATAAGTGAAACAACTTAGCAGTTGAACAGACAGTCTCTTTAAAACTATATGTATTCTATATATGCATAGAATAAAGTCTCTTTAAAATTATATATAAATTATTGCAGCAAGATGATGCCTGTCATGGTTAGAATATGCCAAACAGTGAATCCATCCCGGATTCACTTTCTTAAGGTGAATCAAGTCAAGCAGAATTAAGGTTTCACCCACCTTACGCCTCACCTGAGCAAACCAGGTTTAGAGGTGGCCTTCTAGAGAAAATGAGTAAATCAGCAGGTTACATTATGAGTTTATACTAACCTACCATGAAATAGTGAAATTTGGGAAGAGAAAATGAATCCAAAGGCAGTTTCAGCAGTGTTTCATTGCCTTCACAGTCACTCCAAAGAGCATTTAGTCAAGGAAGATCCATAAATCATTCCTTATGCATAACTGGAGCCGCTTCACAGAAAAAGTCCAAGTGTTCCCTTTCATTTTCGGGTTTCTAATTAAAGGCCCATGCTGAAAATTCCTGACCGGTTCGCGAGTGTCGCTGCTGCCGTGACATCCCGTGTGGCTCCCTGCGGTATCCGCGCCGTGTGACGTGCTGTCCTGGGCACTGCTCTCCAGAAAAGCAAACAATTACTCTTTCAGGCCACAAAAATGCGGGTCTGGGCTCACAGACACGTGCTTTCTGCTGCATCATGAAAGAAAAATGTGCTGCCCGTCATATTGAAAGACCAAACGCAAGCGAGTCCCCACGTCTCGTCAGGGAAAAACTTAAAGACAACTGGAAACTGTTTTCCCTTGGATATGGCAGCGCGTTCACAGCGAACATCCCGATCATCCCACGCAGGGATGTGACGCAGGATCCTGGGGGATCCCGTGTCTTGAGGGATTCACACACGCCAGTCCCACAAGAGGGAATCACGTATTTCTCCTAAACCCACCAAAATGGCCTGAGACTTCCTTTTTTTTTTAAAGAAGACTCACTTCACAGAGCCTGGAAAAACTGTCAATGAGTGTTTCTTTAAGAATGAGCCTCAAATAAAAGCACAGTTCTTATATTGTCCTTGTCTTTGCTGCTGTTGGTTCACAGGAACCTCTTCTCTCCGGGCAATGAGATCACCATCCATCCCAGTACAAGCCAGTGGGGCATTAAAATAATAAAATAAGCACCGTGTGCAGCTACAGTGTGTGAGCAGGTGAGGAAGCAGGAGGGGGGGGTCCACATCTTCACAAAGAACTACTTTTACAATATTAATGAATGTCAAGGAAGGTGTTCTCTGCCTGCTCTATCAGGTTTAATTCACCTGCGTGTCCTTCTTCTTTGCTTTAGGTTCCTCTACTTGGGCTCGTTTTGCTAAAATGAGATTTCACCTCTGCCAAGGGCTCCCGGGTGTGTCCTTGATTCTGTCACTGCAATCAGGCTTTTCGCTCACATCTGTGTTTATAACTGGTGAAATGACATTTCCTCCACATCACTGGTTGTCTCCAGCCACACTTACAGTCACTCCTAGCAGCAGACACACTGGAACACCTATGGACCCCATCCACCCCCATTACACCAGGTTCTTATTAGCGCTCCCGTGAATGTTAACCGGTTCTTTGGGCATAAACAGGAATAAATTTAACAATACTTTTCATTTCCTTTGCTATGCCTTGAAACCCTACATATAAACGTGTACAGAGAAGATTTAGTGGCATGAAATTCCACTACTACTTGGGACGTGGTAAGAGAAAGTGCGTGAGAGTGTTTCTAACTCTAAAATAAGTGAACAAACAAATAAAACACGTAAAAAAAACCCTGCGCTGCCACCCCCGCCCGCCGCGCCGTGACTCAGCCCCCGCCCCGCCGCCTCCCGGCACCGCCCTCCCAGCCCTGCGCATGCGCCCGCCCTCCGCGCTTGCGCACTGCGCCCCGCCCGCCTGTGGGCGGGGCGTGGCGCGCCCCTCCCGTAACGGCCGCGCCCCTCCCGTAACGGCCGCCCCGCGGCGCCTCTCCCCCTCCCCCCGCCTCGCGAGCGGTTTGAAATTAACCGCTGTTTCCTCGCGGCTTCGTGAGGGGGAGGCGGTGAGGGCGGGCGGAGCGGTGCGGTTGCCTCGCCCCGGCCGCCGGCCTGGGCTCCGGCGCCGCCCTCCCGGCGCAGGGTAGGAGGGTGACGCGAGGAAGCGGCTGCCCTGCCGAGGCCCGCGGGCGGCAGCGCCCGTGCTCGCCCCGGGGCCGCTCCCGTGTCTCTGCCTCGCACTGCCGGTGTGCGCAGTGGGGGAGAGGAAGGAGCTTGCGGCCGCGCCGGACCCGCGAGCCCGCACTTGGCCGCGGGGCCGCAGCGGGCTGGCCCGCAGGTAAGTGCCTTGGGGCCGCACGCGAAGTGGGAGAGGGCCGGGCCGGGGGGCAGGCAGCGAGGGTGGCCCCTACGTACGTGTGAGCTCGGGCAGGAAAGCCCGGCGGGAACCTGGCTCTTCCCGAGGCGAGGCGGGGAGGATGCGGCGCGTTAGCCGGGTTCCGTTGTCAGGTAGGTGAGGGGAAGGGGAACAATAACGGCCGCGGCCCCGTGCCGGGATGTGCGCCCCCGCTTTCCCTCCGGCCGTGTCAGACTTGGAGCGGGGGAAGCCGCGGCCGGCCGGCCGACCTCTTCCGGCGTGCGCTTCCCACACGCCGGCCTCCAGCGTTTTCCCGGTCTGCGGGCCGGCGGGAAGGTGTCATTCACACTCGCTGACTGCCCCGTTGTGGGAGCTCTCCCCCAGCTTCAGTAGGGAAGGCGGAGGGTGGCAGAGGGGAGGATAAAAAGAGAGGTATCTTGAAATCACGGCTGCTTGTATTTCAGTGCCTCTCACGTTTCCTCCAAGTGCACTACTACATCTTTAGGGTTTCCCAAAGCAGCAGGATGTATTACTTGTGTGGGTGGTCACTAGAGGAGGGTACTTGGTTTGCTCTGCTCTTAAGATTGTAAGGAAAATGCTGTGATATTATCTGGTCTTAGGGGAGATGGGTGCTATCCTGAGTTTGGAAGGCGCATGAGAACATAGCTATGTTTAAGGGTTGTTGGTTTGGGCCCTAATGTGATATTTTCACCAACAGCAGAAATGTTTTGCTATGAATCTGTATCTATATTCTCTGCAATGAATTCCTTCATTCTGGAGAGACCACTATCTATCTTAGGCTTGAAATAAGAAAGTGTATGAACAGTTTATTCTTTCAGTGTCACAGTTTTAGTTTTCAACATCTTTAGAGATCTAAATTTCTTTGTAGTTCATCTGAGATCAAATCAGTTCTTGTCTGGGGAGTTTTTTAAGCTTTCATTGTATCTTGGCTGGCAACTATGTAAATATATGACCTTTGGGTCCCAGAAATAGATGTCTTTTTAATACATATCTGTTTTCTTAGTTAATGTAATTCCTTAGTGATGATGCAAGAAAAGAAAAGGGTGTTCTAGCAGTATGGAATACTGTTTGACATACACGGTATGCTGTACTTGGTGTTTGTTTTGTTACTTGGGCTTAGAAATGTTTATCTTGGAGTGTGAAGTCAGTTTCACTTGTCTCTACCTGGGAACCTGTGATCAGAGGAAGGTTTTGTGAAATGTGCAAGGTGGATGCTTGTTGCTTTTAAATGTCAGTATCGCTCATGAAATGACTCCAAGAAAGGTGCTCATATGACTCTTGTTATATAGATTACATGGTATTTCAACATATGCACATTTTTGGAAAGCACAATTTAAATGGAATTGAAGTCATAGGGCTTTGTCTAGGACATGTTAGTTTTTTGAAGAAAAAAAGACAAAATAGACTTTGATACAGCTAGCGTGAAAAGTGTAGTGTACATAGATCAAAGGAGGAAAAATCCCTATAGGATAATATAATGTGTACACTTCTAGTGTATATTGCCAGGAGAGAATGACAAACCAGTACGAAGGAGATTTTATACTATATGACTGCTATATCTGTGAAATCCTGATTTGAGCAGTGTAATGGTACTTATTGGGCTGTACAGTTCAGTAGTGTATGCTAGTGATCAGAGATACTTTCAGAAAAAAATCAGTGAATTTTTTGGCTTGGCTATAGGGAAACTAGATAAACGTGTAAGTACACACAATGGACGGACATGTAATTGTATGCATTTTGCGAAATATTTTATGTGATATTTTGCATGATACATAAGTAATGCTGTCTGCTTTTGAAGACAATGTTCTATTTATTATTTTAATCATATAGTTATGTATACTAGAGCTGCTGCAAGAGGAGGGGTGAAGGGGTAGCTCCCAAAGAGCTCAAGTGGGTACAAATATTTCTAAGCCTACTGGCTGCTCTTTAAGTAGAGAGTTCATCAGCCAGGGTTATGTCAGCTAATGAAGAAGCAGCAGGTGGAAAAAGCTCTAAGAGATACCCAGAAGTTGCCCTGATTGCTGCTCTCTTCATTGTACTGAACTGTAGCAATAATGTGAATAAATTTAAAAAAAAAAAGGGGGGGGGGGGGAAGTGTAGGCGTGTTCTAAATAGGAAATTGTTAATGGAAAAAATATCTTAAATAGTTGCAACTTGTTACTGAATGTAGGTTGTTGCCATGGGGCTCTTTGTTTGTTTAAAACTTTAAAGAGGAAAAAAAAGGAGCCTCAATATAGTAGCAGTATGTTTTTTTAATGAGTAATGGATCTTTCTTTCGCAAAATGACACAAGAATACTTATTTTGAAAAAATGCTGACAGTGTAAAAATTCTGTTTGCTCAATTTTAGAATAAACACACAAGATTTTTCTGGATTTGTTTTTTATTATGCATTCCCATCATTTTTTCTTGTGGTCGTTATTAATGCTATCTTTTCCTCGTATTTTATGACAGCATTTGACTTCTTAGTCTGTTTCTGGAGCTTTATCATTTATGGTAGCACTGTTTATAGAAAGATTCAACTATGTTATACTGCTCCTATATACTGCATCACATTGTGCCCTGAGATGCCCTTTGGTGGCTGACCATTGTAAGAGCTTTGCAGATATTTCTCATTACTGGTGATAATATCCTGTACCTAACACTTTATCATCTGGGGAAGTAATGGTATCTGCAAGTGCAGCTGTTGGCAGCTGACTGACAGAGAACTCGTAGTTGGTGTTCATATCTCATAGAAAAATAAGTGCCACTGCTTGAAGTGAGGCACAGCGATTTGCATGGTGATATCTCAGAATTTTGGTAGCTTTAAGGATACAAGAAGGTCATGAAAGATAACTTGGTAGGTCTGGAGATGCTTGGTGACCTTGCAGAGCTGCACACTGCACTGGTACCCCCTACTCTATTGGATTATTTTCAGTATATTGATGCTGACCAGGCAGAGTTGCAGTTTATAGCTCAATCAGACAACACTTTTACACACTGTGTGACAGCGTTTTTGTTAACTGGTGAGCTTATGTTCCCCTATAGCCCTGTAACACTAAAGAATTAAGGGATCTCAGTTTCTTGTAGGGAATTATAATTTTCTTTTTAAAACATAATGCTCTCAAAGAGGTTTATTTTTCAGATTTTAAAAAGGCAAATCAACTGCTGCATTAGGGTAGATTGTGCAGTTCTCCACTTGTAGTGGATTGACTTTTAACTAGCCAAAGGGGAACTTTTTTCTTGGAGGGGAGACACTTGTGCAAACAGAGAGGATTAGAGACAAATAACCTTTTTATTAATGGAAACATTATTTATGTGTTGGAATAGCTTTACTTCCATTACAATGGTAATAAGAACTATAGTCTTTCAGCAGGCAGTAACTATATCCCTTTCTCAGTATTTGCCTTTTTCCTTTAATATTAGGCTTTTTTTACTCATTTTACCATTTCTGTTTTGTACTGGTTCTAGTGTACATTAAATGTTTTTTTTGAACAAGGCTTTTGAGAATGAAAATACTAAGTGAACTCTTGAAATTATTGTATTATTTATACCCCCCACCTTCCCTTTTTAGTAGGTTGTACTTAACCTCTGATTAGTTGGTACACGCAGTTACTTTTCTTTCTCAAGTGTTTTGGAGCCTTTCTTTCAACTGAAACACTAATTCCAAAGAACATGCCCTTGTATGTTAGTTAATGGAGAAGGCTATTATGTTAGTCATGTTGTTTTATATCTCTTGATTTCCTTGTCTTCTTGAGCTTGCTCTCACGTAGCACTAAAGGTAAAAGCCAAGAAGATAGTAGATTCCAGTATGATTCCTTCTCTCTATAAATGCTACTTCTGCTGTTTTGCCGTAATAATAACAACTCTGATTTGTTGATATAGCCTTGCTACTAGAGCTGCGTTTTCATGAAAGAGCTCTTTAAACTTTCTGGGATGGGAGCTTTATGCTGTACTCCTGAGCCTGTTAAGTTCTAATTCTGCTATAATTCTGCATATAGTAGCTTCCATACCTTCAGTCTTGCTGTCTACCCTGCATTTACACCGTTGCTGGTAGTACTGATTGCTTAAACTAGAGGGCAAGAATTCAATGAATTTATGAAGTCAGTTTAAATCCTTTAATTTCAACTCTTCTCACTGTGTAGTAGACCTGCTATTTAACTCTTTCTTTTCAGTTAGGTGTCTGAAAAAGCTTTTGCTCTTGAGAATATTTCAAAAGTACGTTCCTTTGTTATTTTGTCATTTGTGGAACTACCATAAATAAACAAGTAGTGATTCATTTTGATCAGGAAATAAGACTTGATTGCTGATTTTATTTTTTCTCCCACTCCTTATATTAATTCCCCATATTATTAATATTTTTCTAATTATTAATTCAAGTAATCTTTGTTCATTTTTTTCTTCTAGGTTTTCACACTGTTTTATTTCAAGAAATTCTGCCCATTCTCTGTATTCAAATTTGAGTTCCTGTCTACCACTGACTTCATTTCCTTTTTGCTCTTATGAAATCAAAAAATTACCTAGTGATTACAAAAGCTTGGTGCTGTGTCTTGTTTAAGATTGATGCAGAAGTGTATCAGACCTACAGGGTTCTTTTCTGTATGCCTTGTCAATTCATATGATAATCTGTAATGACCAAATTCACAGTAGTATTTATCTCATCAGATGTCAGCCACAGCTAGCAGAATTCTGTAGGATTCTGGGCCATCCACTTGTGTCTGGGCCAAACACTTTCAGATGTTTAAAGATGTGTGGCAACTCCAAAAATGAACTTTGCTAGTGGATAACCCAAATCATGTAAGAAGTTTCAGGGTTATTACAGTTAAAAGATGCACTCTTTCCCAGGATTAAAAGCATCAGTATTTTTAAAGATGCAAGTTGCTGTGTCTGTGGCTCTGGACTCCAAATACAGAAGTGGTTTGCTTGTATTCCAGTATTAGGAAGCTATGGGCCTGGTTCTACTGGTGTATATTTGCAGGATCAAATATACAGAGACTGCTTCTACACAGGTGAATTTTAATCATCTTGCAGTGCTCTTTAAAAGTGAAGCAGGGGTTCAGTCTGTTTATTTATAGCCTGTTCACACTGTAGTATCTGAATGCCTTGCATGTATGTGATGCCAAGTACACTGGCTGAAACCCAGGCATTGGAGCAGGTGGTGTCACTGAAGATGGTGAGTGATACAGCCTTAAAGTGTAGTGTGGCTTCTGTTTTATGCAAGACAAACGAAAATTTAAGGGAAAGAAAGAAAAAACAAAGAATCTTCTACCTCTAGTCTTGCAGTGTAATAGGAGAAAAAGTAGACAGCAGTGTTTAACTTGAAGTTATTTTTTTTTTTTCCTGTATTTCTTCACCTGGAGTGAAGAGAAATGAGAGAGGGAAGCTGGGCAACTTCCCCACAGGTGTTCTAAGTTTGGGAACTTCAGGGTTTCTAAGATGAGGAATTAAATTCAACCGAAGTCAAGTCAAGCAAAGGTGATTTCTTTTATCCTGCTTGTGCTATACCTGGCACCTGGTCTAGGGACACCTTAATAACAAACAAAATGTTATTGATAGAAAAATCCACTGCATTCTGACCACACATGCTCCTAATAATTATAATGTTGAAGACTTCATGTATAAGCTACTGCTCAGCAGTGTTTTTTTAAAACAGAAAATAAACTGCGTTGTGTTAGCATTCTGACATAATTTTATAAAGGTTATTTTTTCATAAACAATTGAAGGTTTGCTGAAAATAGTAGGGGAGAATCACAAGGTTTCTCCTAGCTGAAACTGCTGGGAATTTAAGGATAAAGAATAAATGAGATCACCAAATGTAAAGCATCTTTTGGAACAGAGAGGAAAAAATGTAGTACTTATATGACACTTCCAGTGATACTTTGGTAGCATGTTTCCTCCCTCATCACATTTCTTGAAACCTAAATATATTAGATTTGCAAATTAAATGCCTCTTCATCATCTATCTGTAATATGGCATGTAACAGCCTACAGTGAAAACAAAACATGTAATAGACATGACTTGAGAATTATTATTTGCTACATTTTCAGTTAATAATGCAGTTTCCCCTTATCTCAAACTATTTGCCGCCTGAACTTATATTAGAAGAAATATCATCACAGTTTTAGCAATAGAATTTTAAGTTCATAATTGAACTGGAGTTCTTTACTACAGAATTATGTAAAAAGGCATGAAATATTCTGAGATAATGTCAACTAGATAAAAGTTCTGTGGAACAGAAGAAGCAGTGACAAAACCTTTAAAGGAATTCAAAAACATCCTACTAAGGATTGCTTGTGTTGAAATTTAGCTTCAAAGCTGTCAGTAGTAATTACAGCATCTTAGAATTGTTTATGTTCAAAGGGATTTATGGAGGTCACTGTGTCCGACCACTTGCTCCAAGTGTGGTCAGTTAGAGCAGGCTGTTAAGGGCATTGCCCAGGCAAGTTTTGAATATTTTTAGGGCTGAGGTTTCATGGCCTCTCTAGGTCCCCTTTCCAATGCTCAACTGCTCTCTCTCTTCTAGAGCACAGATTTTTATGCTGCTCTTAAACTTCTTTTCAGGCCAACTCCTGTGTTGCAGAAGCCTTTCTGTAATTTCCCAGTTACTGTTTAATCTAGCTGCCTGCCTTCCTCTTCAACATGATCAGTTTGGAGCAGCCATCATCTCAGACTGTTTTGAATATTTGACTTGCACGTACTCCCATTCCTGCCTTCAGAGTGTTGCTACACAGGCTATTTTGACAAGGGTGGGTCCTATAAAGACTCTACCTGTGTTCCCTGCGTCATTGAGCAATGACCTCACAGGTTTCTTGCACTCTTTTGTTGCCTGTGTCCTTATAGAATCTATCTTGTGCTTTGCAGTACAAGCTTTACTGAGCTTTGACTTTGCTAATTCATCTTTGTAAGCCAAGGCAATAGCTATGTATTTCTTCAGTCTGCCTGTTGCTGCTCCGTTTTCTTGGGGTCATGCTCAGACAGGAGTTTCATTTACATCTATGGCAAACAAGTATGGCAGATGGCTGGCATGGGTGCCATACATGCATTACTGCAAAACTATTTCTCTGTTCTTGTGAGCATAGTCAAACTTGGATGGAGAACTTTTTGCTCGTTAGAAGTACTTACATTTAGATTTTTTAACCATCGCAATTTGTATATACATTAAGCAATTATTGGCAGTCTGAACATGCCTATACTAAAAATAGTTATATAACCTGTTATAAACCATTGCCTAAATCAGTCTGTCATTTAAGAAAAATCTTAGTGAATTAACGAACCAGTTTGTTGTCTATTAGAAGTGACATGTTTGAGAGATTTGTGGATCTGTTATATGTTACATGTAGCTCCTCAACAGTTTTTACCTATATGCTAAATATTTTGCTAAGAAATGCAACTTGATATGTGCAAATTAAAAGAATTTTCAGCCTTGTTGGTCTCTCTTAGTAGGCAGATTTGAGTTGTATTGCATGAGCTGATTTATGCTAATATTTTTTGACTTTGGTAATATATAGCCTTCTAAGTCCCCTTTGTAGAAAGGGATTATTATTTTATGCATTGATATAAATTTGCTTAGCATTTTATTTGCATGTTTATATTAAGGCAGCCATTAAGAATTACTGAAGACATGTAGATTTTTGGAGAGCTTTTTCCAAATGTGGGCAACAGCCTGTAGTTCTCAGCTTGAATTTCAGCTTCTGAGACAGCAAAATTGCTTCCTGGGTATAAACATGTAAGTTCATCTGAGTACAAAGTATGAGTTTACTTGCTTGTTTTTTTGGACTGAAAAGAGACTCTTATTGAACAGCAATACTACTTGTCCCAGAAGATCTTAGTTCACAGCCTCACTTCACTTCTGCTCTTAGATTCTCTTCAATCTCTGCTCTTCTTTTTCCAAGAACAAACAGTGGGACTTCCTCCTGTAATGCATAGAAAACTGTAAAATACATGCAGAAGTTGAAGCAGAGAAAAAGACCTTCTCTAAGACAGAGATAGAGGCAAGAAGTTGGGGACGGGGTAAGAAGTATAGAAACTAAAACATAGAAAACGGTGATGCTATTGATTATCTTGGAGTCCTGGAAAGTATCCCCTCTCTTTTTTTTGACTTGGCTGTATAAAAACAAGGAAATCAACTTGAATTAAAAAAAAAAATCCTTACATTCTTTTTTTTTTTTTAATTTTGATTAAATAGAAAGGATTGTCTGTTAGGTAGATCCAGCATGGAAGATGACTCTTGCAAATGTTTTTTAATATGAAGAGCATTGCCAATATAATGCTGTGCAAGGCCAGAAGCAAATCTTGCTTGAAGAAAGGTAACTTTATAAGCTTTGTGTGGGACCCTTAGCTCTTTCATATAGAATAGCTAAATTGCCACCAAAATTTGATCTGACATTTGGAAGGACCTGGCTATATGAAAATAGGAATTATTTAGGATATTTGAAGATATTAGTTTTTTTAATGAGTAATGTTTTGCTGTCTGTGGCTGAGCATGTGAAAATATGTTGTATTTTGTTGACAGTGTTTATCATACACTTGCAATTGATGGCAAAGGAATTTTGGAAGAAGACTGCAGGGTACTTTATGTATTACAGCGGATATATGGTTTTGTATGTTTCTCTCCATTTTCTGAATTAGAAATTCTTGTTAGACCAAAGAATTTTTATTCAGAAATGTCTTTACTGTTATAGGTCACACATAGACTTCTCATTGGATGTTATAAGTCTCTCTTAGCTGCTTGGTTGCTTAGGAAAAACTGTCTGCAGAATCATTCTGTTTTGGAGAGAGATGTGTAATTTCTTTTTTGAGGAAGCATTGACACCTATACCTTCTCCAAAGTCTATATAGATAACACTCTTGCTTTTAGGAGCTGTGAAAAGTGACAAGGTAGTTGCATATCTTCACTTAGCAATAGTTGACAGCTGTGCACAGCTCAGTACTTTGAAGCTGTATGCTCAAAATTGAGTTTTATGCAGTGGAAAACTTAAAAGGAGAAAAACTGAACTGTGCATGTATGCCTTGTGGGAGGCAAGGGTGTTGTATAGAGCTTTCACAAGATTTTTGTGATAGAATTGTCTCAGAACTATGACTGCTGGAGAAACTTGTGCCAATTGCATGTAGCTTTCTTTTAGAGATAAAGAATTGGGAAACTTATTACTTTTTTCTTTTTTTTTTCCTAGATCTGAAAACAACTTTTTTTCTGTCCATCTTGCATATACAGAACCTAGAGAATAAAAATGGGGACTCCTGGATCAGGAAGGAAAAGAACTCCGGTGAAAGACAGATTTTCTGCAGAAGATGAAGCTTTGAGTAACATTGCCAGAGAGGTTTGTTAATTTAAAATTGTCTTCTATTTCAAAATGTGGTTGAAAGCAAACTTAATTAACACGGTGTTCAGAAAAAAAGAATGATTATTGAGCTGTCCATTAAAAATACCAAATGTGTTTACCCAGAGTATGACAAAAATACAAACTAGGAACACTTGTAACCACTATTTCAGCAAATGTCACTTTAAAATGATATATGTTGCATGATTTAATGTAACTCTATAGTATCACACTTAAACCTCAGCAGATCTACATGTAGCTGTATACTTTAAAAAAATCAAGATAAATGAGAAATTCAATTGCTACCCTAGGCTAAAACTGAAAAAACTCCGTGTGTATCCTATTGCCCTGTATGTGCTTAAAATAACCTGTGTTGTCAGTTAGTGTTGAATGTGTAATAGTCATTATTAAAATGATTAAGTGGCAACAAACACATGCTTTTTAAAATGTTAATATCAAATCTGTCAAAAATAGTATATATGCTGTACCAAGGTCATAGCTCAAAAATAAAGGGTTGGAGCTAACCAACCAAAAATACTATTGAGAAGTTGATTAAAAAAAAAAAGGTGGATTTTTGCACTACCAGATATAGTAAGGAGACATCTGAAATTGTGTCCTACAGACCTCTATCTGGACTTCAGTTTTTCTGGGGAGAAACAGTATTAAACAGAAGCATTAATACTGTTTGTATACAAAGAGATGGAGAAAATTTGAGCTATGTTATCTGCAAAGCTGCTTGTTCTGGTTGACATAAATACAAGACTTAAAATCTTTATATATGTGTGTGTATATGTATAAAATTTGTTTGTATATATGTTTATGTATATACATTGTAAGAAAATAGATTACAGGTCTTTGAAAATACAGCCTCTGTTTAAGTAGCTATTACTGACTGTAAATAAAGGAAATGCTCAGTCAGCAAAAATCACTTTCATGTTTCTGGCAACTTTCTGCAAGTGCGTGTTGACACCAAGTCTATGGAAGTTCTCACAGCACCAGCTGTCTTTGGGCCGCATGCTTTCTCCTCAAGCTTTGTCTCTGAGGGAAGAATATTTAAAGCAGGAGAAGGAATCTGCATTATATAAGGCAATATGCGATTAAGGTATTATGGTAAAAGTATGGTAATGTTTTTTTTAAAAAAAGATATGGTAATGTAAGAAGTATGGTCTAATAGAAATAAGGTAATGACAGAAAAGGACCATAGTAACTAGGCTTGTTTGCTCGCAACTGCCATCGTGTGGGAGAGACCTTCCCCTGCTTCAGCCTAGTGAGTATGGAAAGATGCGGGCTTGTAAAAGCTGCAAATTGCTTGTCTAGTTAGGAGTTATATATAGTGTTACCCATGACAGCAGTATGATTTTTAATTGTGTTTAAAAAGTATTATTTTTTGTAGGTGAATGCTCTTTTTCTTACAGCCTACTTTTTATCCTAGTAAAGCTTTTATCCTGAATCTGAACTAATTAAGGAACCTCTTTCTCTCCATTATGAAAATCAAAAACAAGCTGCTGTCATTTCCTACTGAAATTCTTCTTGCAAACAAGAGGAAAGAGGAAAGTGTCTGTTAATACTATGCAATTCTGCTTGCTCTTGCTCAGCAGTGGATGAAAGGAACATTACCTACTACATTAATTCTGTATTTTACCAAGATTTTGCTATCTTTTTATGCTTATCCTTTGATATCTTGGTGAAGGACTGTGAAAAATCTTTGGAAACTCCTCAAAAAGGGAAGACTCTAAAGACCCTAATCATAAAGAGGCATTCAAACTCAAATCTGATCTTTTCCTTGTTTCTCATTTTTTGCTTGCCAAAGCCAGCACACTTTTTAACTAAAGAACTAAATCCTATTCCTGGAAGCTGAGATAAATGTGTTTGAAATCTGCAGAATATTTTGGCAGTGTGTGTGTATATATAAAAAAAATAAAGTAAGAAAGAAGAATAATAAGCAACGACAATTTTCTAATTCATTACAAATAGCTGTTAGGATTTTTTTAGCTGAAAATAAGAGAATTGGCAGGCTCTACCATCTGTGATGGAAAGAGACTATTTCTAATCACATTTTTGATAAGCATATGCATCAAAATAACTTAGAATTGATTACTGCTTTCAGCTAGCCTAGCTTCTGGAGGGAGAAACTTGAGTTCTCATTTGTTTATAGCAAATAGAAAATTTCTTTTAGAAGCTTTTCAAATAAAACTTTTCAAATCTCTCTTTTTAACAAGTTGTACTATAATCAAATACTAGAGTGCTGTATCATCACTGCATGTTTATTCTAGAGATTGTTCACAGAATGACTGCTGAAACTCAGGTATCAGAATGGTAGTGGTTGATCCAGAGATTCTTAAAACTAATTTTTTTTTTTAATCAAGTTCTAGAAGAGAAAAGGAAAACGTTTTGCTCCCAATCCCAAGCTTGTGTGAACAAGTAGTGATGTATTTGGTGTCCTTTATTTCAGTTAGCAAAGCACTGCAAAATGACTGCCTGCCCTTTTACCTCTCCTTACAGAGCCAGTCTAGATTTTTTTCTACCGCTTTCATAGCCTGAAATAGCTCCTTGTTTTCCAAACAATTCCCTATGCAAATTTGTGTAGCCTTGCGTTTCTCTTAACAGATATCTACTGACTTGACTTCACTGTAGTTGAAGGATTTTGTCTACAAGCAGTCTGTCAATGAAATTTGTTTCATGACTGCTTTCTTGGGTTTTCTTTATTAACACAAGAGGGTGAATAGCAGCATCCAGGGGGAAAGCAGTCTTCTTTGGAATAGAGCTGGATTGTTTTTCACTTTTGAATTTCAATAACATAGTTTTCAGGGTTTGTATGAGTCCTACTCCATTTGAGGACTGCTCTTAGAATTCATAGAATTGTAGCATTATTATGGCTGGAAAAGACCTTCAAGATCATTGAGTCCAACCATAAACTCATCACTACCCTGCCTGCTAAACCGCCTTCCTAAGGGCCTCATCTCCACATTTCTTGAACACCTGCCGGGGATGCTAACTGCTAACTGCTTCCCTGGGCAGCCAGTTCTGATGCTTGACTATTCTTTCCATGCAGAATTTTTTTCCTAATATCTAACCTGAACCTTCCCAGTGCAACCTGGAGCCATTTCTTCTTGTCCTATCAGTAGTTAGTTCAGAGAAGAGACCAACCCCTGCCTCAATACAACCCCTTGCAGACAATAGTAGAGAGTGATACAGTAATTCAAAAGAGAGGCATGTATTATCATGGTAGTCTTTCAGTTTTCTGTGTTATTCATTTTTTGGCCTAAATTGTGATAAAATCTGAACTACACTTTTATCAAACTTGTTGATTTCTTTGCTTTTCTGGAGTTTTCTGCTTTTCAGGTGAATCTGATTGCTCAGATTAATAATAGTAAGACTGAATCATTAAAGGTTTTGTTAAAACTATTCTCTAAAAATGTTTTCTTCAATTTCAGATGTAATCCATACAATACAATTTTGCATAGTTTTTTTTCTGAATCCTTTGAAGGGTTTAATGAATTGTTAGAGCTTTTTCCCATTACTGTAGTAGCAAATATGAAAGTTTGGTCACTAGTTGTAGGAGTGAATGGTGAAATAGAGGTTGGGTTTTATAGCATGAGTCAATAAATGAATTAACTTTCTGTCTTTAACAGGACAGTTAAAGTCTTGCCAGAGTCCGAAGGCTGTTTGTGTGTGTCTGGTGAGCTGTAGATAGAATGAGACAGATGCATCAGCTGGTTGACTCCTTTCTCTCTCTGTGCTGGCTGCCTGTATGAAAGTGTATTTGCCCCAGAAGCTCAGGCTGGCCGAAAAGGGCAGCATAGAGTGGGAAGGGAGAAAACACTTCCTGCTGCCTCGGAATTTCTCTTAGCTTAGTTCTTGCTGCCAGTGTATAGAAAGAGCAGTAGCTTCATGCTCGCTGAGAAGTGATTGAGTAGTAGTAAGTTAGTGTCCTGGTGTGATCTGGAATCACACTTTCCGAGTATGCGAAATACATAAAAGTTTGGGTAAGAGTATTTGAGGTGAACTTGCCTATTTTTAAGTAACAAAGTTGTTTCTTGTTGGCATACTGTCTTGCAATTCAATTGGCCTTTTTTCTATCTGGAGCTTAAATGTATTTTAAATGGAGTTAAATATTCCTTCCTTATCCCTGAATTGTAACAATGATAAATGATAAACTAGTTATTTTTGGTTGTCACATATGTTTTGTAAGTTTCTAAGTTTTATATAAACCTCTGTTTTCCGCTTTTTGTCATTGTCTCTGGATTCTTAATTCAAAATCTTATTCTAAAATGTTCTATCCAATTACATGCTTTGGATGTCAGCAGTTTTGAATTTTCAAGTGCTGGTGCTTCTCAAAAGCTTATAATTAACAGTGGATAGACAAACCTGTTTTTGTGGCAAACCTGACTTCAGTGATTTAGTATTTCAAGAATTTTAAGTTCATGGAAATTCTTTCTTATTATCCAAACATGAAACAATTGAGCTTGTATTTTCTTCAGCTTCTAGCTTTATGTCAAAACCAAATAAATGCATGTAAATGAGTAAATTTCAATAGCATTTTCAATATTAAAAGCAATGCCTCTTTCTGTGTGAGGCTAAGGGGAAAGGAAAGGGGAAAGGGAGAAAAATAAGCAGTAGTATTTGTGGCCACTGTGTAGCTTTCCCAAGCAAGTGAGATCTAATGGCTTACTGAAAAAGGAGGGAGAACTCGGTGGCCACTGAAAAGGGAGAGAGACCTCAATGCTATTCGGTTCTGCTTTTGCTTCTTCCTAAGATCCTTCCACAAGCCAACTCAGTTCACTCACACAGTAGAAAACTACTCATTTGTTTTTTATTTGCTGTTTCTGCTTATGTTAGGGAGTTAAACTGGCTGAGAGTAAATTCCACGTGTTAAAGTGGTATCTGAGTAAGTTGTTGAGAGTATAAGGCCCAGAGAGGAAAGGAATGCAACTGTCCTTTTGGTGCTGAGCGATTTAGTTGCTTATTGTCCAACTGTAACCCCCTATTTGTCTTTATCCCATTTTGTCCAATAATTGATTTTATTTTATCATTGCTAGTAATTCCACTACCATATTGAGGAATTCCATGTCTAAGCAGTATTTGCTTTTTAAAATAATTCCAAGTGAGACCAGAGCCTTTTCATGTAACAGGAGCAGCAGTAGTTTAAAATATTTACTTTCTTTTTACACTTAAAAAAAAAAAAATTTTTTTTCTTTGGCCCAAGATCCTGCAGTTACTTATGAGTATGTTGAATAGTGCTGGAGGTTAACCTTTAGTAAGGGGAGCTGGAAGTATAGAGCCTTGAAGGAAAAAGCGAGGAACTTGGATTAAAGTATTTTTTGTTGTTAGGATGTTAATGTATTTCTATGAAGACATTATTAAATTGATTAATGAAACCATTGCACAAAAGTATATTTTGAACTTTAAGTATTTTCAATTTGCTCATAGGCAGAAGCCAGGCTTGCAGCCAAACGGGCAGCTCGAGCAGAAGCAAGAGACATACGTATGAGAGAACTGGAGAGACAACAAAAAGAGGTAAACTGTCACAAATTACTAAAATCCTTAATGTATATTATTTTATTTCTATCCTTGCATTGGACTTGGTCTTTCAATGTAGCTCAGCTATATGCTGTTCTTTATAGCATCAAAAATCTGTTACCTTCTCTCTCACCCTCCTGAAGCTTCTGCTTCCCAAGGGATTATATATCTAAATTGATAGTTTACTTGTAGTGACATTTCACAAAATATCTAAGTGAACATTCATTTTGAGCACATAATCAAGGGTCTGCTACATAAAACAGGCATTAGCATTCTTGCTTTAAAATGAAAATAAGATTTTAAAAGTGATTTTTAAAAATCTGGCTTTACAGGCAAAACCAGGTGTGTGAATGTTTTAACAAATACTGTGATTTCAGCACTAGCAAGCAAATTTGAACAAAGGTGAATCTAAATGTCTACCCTTAAATATGTACCTTTAAATATTTTAAGGCCCAAGGTTTGCTTTTTTTTTGTTTTAACTACTGCGTATTTGATTTTAAGTGAACAGAAGGAGAACGTAGTAGGAATGTCCAGAAATAAGGCATGCACAAGTAATTTTACATAGAAAAGTTTGCAACAGCTGACACACAAATGAAAGACAGTTAGTAGTTATTTGGATTTGAGTTATTAGATCCATTTTTCCATGTTCTTATAAGAACAGTGACTTATGTCAAAGTGGTTTCTGTGTGCTACTGTGCAAAAGATTCAGATGGATATGGATAACTGGCAACCATTATGAATGTAACTGTACCTCAAAGGTACACTGTTGAGGGCAAGCAACTACAAAAAGTAGAGAATTATTTTTTACTTATAATATATTGTAAAAATATAATTACTAATGCTTAGTAATTGAATAATTTGCATATATGATTTTCACATGCCGTTCTTGATTAGTTTCTTTTGTTATGGCTCATACTAGAAATGTTTACAATGATTAAATACTTAACTGTCAGGATATGCTCATTTAAAAGAGTTTAATAGGAATCTGATAATATTTACACACACACAATTACATATTATGCCACTATCTCCTGAGAAAGTTTGCATTTCTTTTTTGGAACAAGAAAGTTGAAAATTAGGTTTCTAGTAGCCTTTGAGTATATCATGGTCATTGAAATTAACTTGGATTTTGACTTGCTGTGCAAAAGAATTGGATATTATTATTAATAGTTATGGTAATTGCATTGAAAATGATGTAAATGCATACTGTTTTGGTGAGATAATGGGTATGGTTCATTTAAGAAAAGTGTTACTCATTTTACGTGACTACTTATTCCTGATCTTCAGTTTTCTAAATGCATAAGTATCTTTCTGTAAAAGATATATGGAAATTAAATTTATATTTTAATTTTTCTACCTGGGAATCCCTTCTTGTATAGTGATTAATCTGTGTTGTAAATGGTTTGTTTATTTTCTTTTTACATTCTATAGCTTTCTCAGCGCTCATATGATAGAAAATGGGCTCATATTCAGAAATGGATGGTAGGCTAAAACTGCCTGATGTGCATGGTTTTGCCAACAGAGAACTAACTGAGGAGTTGAAGAAAATAATTTACTAATGGTTTGCATCGTGCCATTTCAAATGGGTTTTTATCAGGGAAAGTGGATGATTGTTTATGAATGTGGATATGGAATATGCTTTACGGAAGCAAAAGACAAACATTGGAGTGTGAGATGCTTTTCCTTGAAATGAGATGCTTTCCAGCATGCGCTGGCTTCAAATTGTAAATTACATTTAGAATGAAGCCACATTATTTTCAATCTATTGATATAATTTATTAATTTCAAGTATTGGCAGACTTTATTTTTTTCTTTGAGTAAGGTAATAAATGCTGATTTTTCACTGATGATTAAATAATTTCTGTGACTTATTTTTAAATGATTGGAGGGGGGCGGGGGGGAAGCCCCGATCTCCATATGCACTTTTAAAAGCAAATCCAGGTGACATGCCCAGGCTTACTTATGCATTCTTTTACCACTTGCCTCCAGCTCTAACTAATGTTGATAGAATGTTTGGCTGTTTATTTAGATTAAATCCTCTAAGTAGGAAGGCACAGAGGTTGCTATCTAGTACAATGGGAGGATGGGTTTTTTGAATTTTTACTGTGAGTGTTTGAATGGAGATTTAAGTAAGACATGCCAAGACTTCACATAGTTTCAAATGGTTAAAACTACTGTTACAGTTAATCAGCACTTCTCTTGAGAAATCCTAGAACTGTCTTTAGAAATTTTATTGGCAAAAAGTTGTGCAGACTTGGTACTGTATCATTGTCCTCCTGGAACTTGCATGCATAGCAGTTGCCCTATTTTATTTTTTGGAGCAGTGTGCTTTTCATTGCTTTCTCTGCTGAAGAACCAATTTCCCAACCTGTTAACACCACCACACTTGGATGTCAACCCCTTCTTCTCGTAAGAGACTCTTCTGCTACAGGAAGATTCTGGGCAAATGTGGATTCCCTCTTCTAGATCAGGAAGCCTCTCACCTTAGCTAACGTACATATTGCAAATGTAAATTCCTAGCAATTGGGCTTGATAAGTGCTAGCAGTGCCTATCTACTTGCAATACATATTGTAGTGTTTTAGTTCTGCTTTGAAACATTTAATCCTGTCTTGGCATTTCCTGATTTTTATGTCAGGAAGAGATTTGTAGGTGACTTACCAAAGGTAGCCATTTGTAGCAAATTGTATCTGAATCTCAAGCTCTGCATGGTAGGAGCATATTCATTCAATGTATTCAGTGGCTACTCACACTGTTAGACGAATCCTGGTTAAGCAGCAGCTGCAGAATCTGTAGGCAACTGTTGATAAAATATCTATATGCAAGATGCAAAAGTTAGTCGCAAATTGCATGTTTGTCCGTTTAGACTTGAGGCACTTGAGAGATGAACATAGTATGGAACTGATCTTTGTGCTAATACAAAGCCTCAGGCTTCGTGACTGTATTGGAGGCTGAGCTTTCAACTCTGAAGAAGCACTACTTAAAATCTTTAGGGTGCTTCATATTGTAAACTATAGTAAGAGACTCATTTTAGGAAGGATTTCTAGTTTTAGCATCTCTTCTGACTTTAAAATGGTTTATTTAAAAATTAAACTCTCTCTCTTAACATGCTTGCTGCTTGTAACTAAAAATCTGAGAAGCTTTGAGCTAAAAGCACTTTCCCCTTAGTTTTAAATTAGCTTTGCCATATTTCTCACGACTTGATGTTTGAAGCAAAGTGGAGGTTCCCCAATCCTTCAGCTGAACTGGGGATAACAGCGTCTCAGATATCTGTCTGTCCAGATTTAATGAAGCTGGGCAGCATGCTGCTTTTACTGTCACTGCAGATCTGAGCTACATATGGAATTTACAATATGCAATTGAGCAATTTGCTTAAGAAGGTTTGCATTTTAAAATAAGGGAAGATATGGAGAGATATGTATGGAGAAACAGAGAATGAACGAGTGGACTGGAAGCATCTGTTTTGGGGCTAAAATATTTTAAAATAACCCCAACAACCTAATTGGGGTAATTTTATAGCAAATTTTATACTAATCTGTGATTTTTAAGACTTAATTTGGATTGTCTTGAATTTTGAGTTTTATTTCTAACTTAAAGTTTTTTTCTGCACTTGATAGAGTAGTCAAAAAAGACTGCTTATCACTAATTGTATTAAATCAACTTTATTTTCCTCTTATGAAGTGTATGCCTATAGATATTAGATAAACCACAGTTCTGATGTAGATGAGTTCACTTGCTGCAGTGTATTACTCCAATTAACATGTGGCGTTGAAAATGCTAACAGCATGTTGCTCACCTTTGCTTTTGTTTCATTAAGAAAAAAAAAGTCTAAATAACTCTGCATTTCTTCTCTCTCAGGAAGATTCAGAGCGGGCTCGGTATTCTCACCGGTCCAGCCGACATTCATACTTGGTTTGTGTCCAAACTGTGTTTTTTTCCTCATTCCATCATGTGCTTTAAAAAATAAATTTTATCTGGATTTTGGTTTAATTCTTCTAGGCAACACATGATGCTTAATTATTAATCTTAGGGTCAGAATTTTAAGTTGCATGTAATATTAAAATTCATCCTGATGTTTATTTCCATCAATATTAAGATCATCTATGTATTTTTGTATACTTTTCATGAATAGAAACGATGTCATGCCTTAATTCTTTGAGTTTGCATTACACATGTATTTTACATACATCTATATATATATATATAAAAAACATATAAATAAAATATGGCTCTTCTCCAGATAACACTTTTTAGTATATTTTAGAATATGTTTGTGGTGAATAGGAGTAGAAGTTTGGAAACTGCTTGAAAATATGTCATTCAGCAATGTAGTATTTGAAATTACTTTTATTTGATGACATATTTTAAGTATCATTCTCTAGTGTTATTTCTACTTAAAATTTTGTGCTTTACTTAAGCTTTAGAAAAGTTGAATCGTTCCACTTGCTTAGACTTCAAGTATTTTTGAGTAATAATATATAATTCTGTTTTTCCTGTCAGGGTAAATACTGAGTAAATACTACTCATGACTCATATCTTCCTGTGATCGGTGCCTCTTAATGAAGATCGGTTACACTGTCTTGTAGCTTTGATTCCAAATTGCTGCCCTGGTATTTTCTTATACTTTAAGTACTACCAGGTCTCCGTAATGCTTGTGAAAGAAGCAGAAGGACATAGCTTAAAATACAAAGAATGCAATATTATGCAGGGCTTAACTCTTTGGGAAGACTGTGGGAAGATACGATTCATTAATAATAGATCCTTATCTGAATGATGCAAGGTATCCCAAATCCTGCTAATAGAAATCCCTTTATACTGCCTTTTCTGTTGTTTTTGTCATTGATATTTTTATCGCAGGGTAGAAATAATTTTTCTCTTTTCCATGGATATGCCTAGGAACAGGCTCTCTGATACATAGACTAAGAGAGGGAGAAAACCTAAGGTCAAAGGGATTTTCTGTTTATTTAGAAGGTTATTCTTATTTTATATAAAATGTCTCTGTGTGGGTTTTTAAAGAAAGAATGTTCTTCCTAAGAGTTTTAGGCTGTTCTATAGCGTCTTTAAGGTGAGCTTGCAAAGTGCATTATTAAGTAAATGCTTTTGCAACTTATCACATGGGTATTCTCACCAAATAAATCTTGCAAATCAAGTAAATCAAGTAAATGGCTGGCTTCTTTGTAGACAGAAATGTTTACAGAAAACATTATAGTCAGTGCTATGTGCTGTCATTTGTAGCCTTGTGAGCTCGTGCTAACATCCAGATTGAGCTGATAGAGAGTAAGAAGCCATCCTTGAACACGTAGCTCATAAAACAGGGCTTTATTTTCTGTCAATTACCCAAAATCTCTTTACAACTGGATCTGTTAGTTTGTGCCTTTTCAGGTGAAGTTTAGCAGCTACCTGTATTTGCCTTGAGAGGATTATTTTAAGTTTTTTGTATTGATCTAATCTTTGCAATTTCATTCTTAAGAGTTCTTTGGATGCCAGTGGGTCACACAGGAGCAGAACAAGCGCTTCCCGGAGGAGAGACCTTGTGGTGTGTAGCCTGGAACAAACGTGTGCTGATGTGCTCCCACTCTAACCATTTCTGTGCCTACTCACCAAAAGCAGGAGTTCTGTCAAAGTGGCCTTATGAAAGCAGCATCAACTGGACTGTTGCAGGGGCTGATAGAATAATGCAGTGATTTCTCTGTGATAGCAAATTTAAGGGCTCAAATAAAACTTGTAACTGGAAGGCAACCTCAGATTTTCATTTTGAAGGGAATAAGTAGGCCCTCCAGTCAGACTCTTCCAGTGTCCCCAAAGGGGAAATAAAACGAGATGGCCAAACCTGTACGAGGTTCTCTTGGTACAAAGGCATTGTTGAAAGCTGGGCCAGGAAACCTTTTATTTTTCCACCCAAATTATATTGATTGCTGTGTTACATAATGCTAACCTACGATAAAGACAGAAACACAAGAAGAAATTCTTTTTCTTCAGAAGTATAGTTTCTGAATATTCTGTAGTATTTCTAATGCCTAACTTAGGCAATTTATCAGTCTTTACATGAAACATGTTTGTTAGTAAACTCATAATGGTTTGTAGTTAAGGCATAAGTTAAGTGCTATAATAAGTTATCTGAGTTGGATCTGGCTGCGTTCTCTCACAGAGCTGTTGCTCTTTTTAGCCATCAGATCTAGAATATTGATGCCATCCGAACTCTTTCCATAGCCTGCGTGTATGAACTTTCTCAGGAGGGAAGAGAAGACTAATGAAGTCACATATTGCAGATGTCTATCTTATATAAGCATTTTTATTATTCTATCTTTACAATATCTTATGTATACTTGTGTGACATACACAGATTAGATTTAGTGAAGTCATACAGTTTTCAAAAACTTTTAGGTGTGTGTGTGCGCATGTATTTGTGTTCTTTATTTACATGTAGAGATTTATGTTGTTTTAATGGAGAATTATTTAGTTCTAGAAAAAATGTAGGTTTATATACATTTTACTATTACTTTACTATTTACTTAATATAAGTAAATTTTTACTTAAACTTTTACTATACTTAAACTTTTACTATAACTTTACTATTACTTGATAAGAAGGAATCTTAAGTAGAGTGTGTCCCATTCTCATAGGAGTTATGCCAAGTAAGACTTGGGCACATCTCAAGCAAAGATGCACCAGGTACCACTGAAAAGAATATAGAGCTACTTAAAATACTGAATTTGTTTAAACGGTGTTATCTGTTTCAGATATGTGGCATAATCTGTAGTACTATATGTTGTTAGTTTATATAGGATTTATTTACTGAAAAGCGTGAATCCTCGTTTAATCCAAGATAAGGATAATTATAGCTTAACAGTACTCTCCTTAGCCATGATAGAATATTATACTAAGCATGTAATTAGAATTTTCTATGGCTTTTCCACTATAGTTGATAAATATCTCAGGTTGTTATGAACTCTCTGAGCTTTAAGATTGAACATGCTGTTACATGGTAGTAGTAATTAAAGATTTTTTTATTCGTAGAGTCATGCTTACAGTGAGTCTCCTAGTACAAAGAAGAAAACTGCTTCTTTCCATAAAGACCTCTTGGTTAGTTATCAAAAGCAAAATTTACTACAAATATACTAACTTTGTGGAGTCGTCTTACATGTGCGTCTAACATGTGCGTTTCTTAGCTTGCTTACACATGCATACCTAACTTTCAGGAACAAAACTCTAGTATTGACCAAGTCCTGACCTGAACTTGAGTGCTTGCAACTGCATTCACATCAGTGGAATTAAATCAATGGAACTTAGTTAATTTAAATTGTATGCTAGGCCTTTAGAAGGCTCTAGAATCATTTCAATATATCAATTCTGTGGAATAAGGTTGTTCAGTCAGGTTGGAGGTGCCTGTTTTATTGCTTTATCCTCTGTTGCTTAGAGTTATGTTCAATGTAGATGTGGAATAAAGTAAATTGTTTACCATAAACGTTGCATTTATCCCAATAAATTGTTGGGAAAATCCTTTGGACTTTGATTTTCAGAAAAATTGCTAGAAGAGTTTAGTGAATAAAAAACTAATGTGATACTGGGAAACTACTTTTTTGGCTTTAACTTGTGAAAGGATTTTAACATTAAGTATTTGTTTCATGGGTCGCAGGAGTAAGAGCAGGAGTGAACGTGTCTGTTGAGACAGGAATTTGTGCTTTATTTATTTATATTATGGTATTTCTCTGCATATTTAGGGATGCTATTGCAACTATATATGTCCATCCCCTATTCTTATTTTCCATGTATTTTATGCCTCGTTTTCTGTTAAGATCTACTTCTCAGCATTTTCTTCTTCATGAGGGGGAGAGAATAAAACTAGTTTGATAGAAAATTGGTGTTGATGCGTAGTGTTGAAGTGTGCAGTACGCGCTTCAGAAAGCCAAGTAGACTTTGAGTCTACTCTAAGGAAATATTTTTTACAACTTCCTGTGCAAGTTAAAAGCTTGAGAATGTTTGGGCAATATCATCATGGAACTTTTATTCCTGGGATCTTTAAATGAAACTTGTGTTTTTTTGTATCTTTCTTTTTCCACAGAGTGGAATTTACCATGATCAAAGAAATTATAGCAGCCTTAGATATAGTAAACCAGCTTCTTCCTACCATACTCGGGTCTGTCTTTTCACTCTATTCACTCTATTTGTTCTACTTTCTCATATTTTATAAAGCTAACTTCTCTCTCCTCTTTTCTATAACATTGTAAATGATTACAGCTAGCAGTAATTACATGTTTTCCTTTCATAAAACTAGTCTATAATATGTAAATTATGTTCTGCATACATGGAGATTTAAAATGTCTTGAATTAATGTGTATATATATAATATATTCCAAAAAAAGCTACTGTGACTCTTTCCTAAAAAGTCCTGTTGAACAGCCTCGTTTCCTTGTGAAGTTAAAGCGTAGCACCAATATACGGCTTTCTCCTATAGTAATATAAGTGATAAACTCATGCTCTAAGATGAGGAGTTGCAGCTGCTGTAATTTCAGAAATTCTCATGGTCAAATTAAATAAGTAGCTAGAGAAAACTGGCATATCTTTGGGTAGTTGTTTAGTTTCTTATTATACTTTTATTCAGTATTTTAATCTCTAGAGCTTTTTTGTTGAATGTAGAACAAAAGCTACGCTCACTGTCCACCGAAAACGCATTTGACTTTCTCTGTTCTTCGCACTACAGTCCTATTCTCTATGCAGTGATCCAGTGGCAACTACTAGGAGTTACAGGGTTAGTACGATGCGAAAGAATGTTTTACCTAGTGCTGGTTGTTTTAATTGCCCTTATAAATTTAAAACTACACTTCTCTTCATAGGTGTCTCCCTCTGTAAATACTGGTTTAATAAGGAGTACCAGTTTGGTTCGTAACCACCATTTGCATGGTTGCCTTAAATTTGTGTTGTATGGCCGTGTGGATTGAGCATATTACATCTGCATTCTTTCCATGTTTCTAAAGAAAGCTAAAGCTTGTGTGTGTCTTACTTTGGGGAGGCCTTAATTGCTTTTAATGTTGCTAGATTTCCTCTTCAAATATTTTGGTAATTGCGATTTTGCTGCTCTTTTTGTGGACGTGCATAAAGTTTGAATAAAAGTTATGTTAAACAGTGGAGTCCTAAAGAACAAGTTAAACCAGGCATATTAAAGAAAAAAATATGTATAGTATGAAAAAGTCTAGTTTCAGAATAAGCAAAAATCTGAATGGGTAAATCACTGTCTTTCTGAGGTTACAGAAATTTGTGGTAAGTGCACTTTTAAATTCTTTCACATGGCATGTATTATTTAAGATCAGTAATCATGCAAAATTAAACTGCTTTTGGAAAATCTGCATGGTTGAGGCAAAATAAAACTCTTTGATAACCCCTTTGGTAAGGGTGCAATAAAGCTTCAGTTCCCAGGGTGAGCAAGTAGTGGAAAAATAAATTGTGCTTTAAATATTTAATTTTCTTGTGAAAAATGAGGCTTTTTATTATATTATTTTTCAAGGGAAATCTTTGGTTTATATTTGGGAGTAAAATTCCTTAATAGCGTGAAGAAATACTGCTAGTAAAGAAAATACTGTTCTCCATCCTTTCCAAAAGCATAGCGGAGAAGGGAAAATGCATTGATAGGATAAGGATAAGATAATAGGAGGTTTCACTGCTCGGTACCTTCCAGTACATAAAGATGTGGCACTGTTATTTCCAAGGCCAAACGTAAGAAGTTTTCCATTCCCTCTTTCTCAGGCGTCTTTGTGTGGTGATGGATTTCATAGCTCATATAGCTCTCGCACTGTAAGTGTACTCAGCTCTTGGTGATTTCTTTCGAAATATTTATTTTCTGGAGATGCAAATGAGTGACAGTTGTGAAAATTTCCTTCATGGCTTCTCCTCAGCCATCTGAATACAGTTACTCTTCAAGAGCGAGCTCCATTCGAAGCAGCCCCGTGGTGAGCGTTCCTCTCGCATGTCTCGCGGAGAGCTTCCCTACTAACCTGCAGGAGTCAGGGGGCTGCTTGGCACCGTGGATCCTTTTCACCACTTAACATTCACTTCCTGTGCTCTTTCTGTGATTGCTTGTTGCTGTCATGGTGGGTGGCTCATTGAAAGTGTCAGCTGGGTATTCCCTGGAAGTCAAAATGGAAAGTAAGAGGGAACTTGAACAGATAAGAAAATACAGCTGGGAAACTACGGTGCATCTCATATTCAAAATCTATCAGTTCTGGTGAAGGGGGGCAGTTTGTGCAGCATATATTGTATCTAGAATTTATTCAGGACTCCTGAAGTAGCTTTGCTTCAGTGGGGATTAGAAAAACTCCTGAAGGACGTGCACATATGATGGTTCCCCTGGCTGGTGAAATGGAGCTCATAATTTCTAGAATCTGGAGCAGTTTAGCAAGAGAGGCTCCGTCCTTAGGTGCTGCTGCTGCAGGTTCTAGTTTAGGAGCATCGTGCTAGTTCTTAGGCTTTCTTATGGAGATTTTGAAGGTGTTTTCGCCTATTCAGTCAATTGTAATGAAGCAAGTTTGTACTTCGGGGGGGGAAAAAAATAAACTGCAATTTTTTTGTGTTATCTGTAGAATAACACTTTTTTTCCATTGGTCAACATTAATATGTATACATTGTGTAAAATGTGTATTAACCATGATTCACAAATCAAAGTTAATGTTATTGCTGTGCACTCTGTTATGCTCGATATGCAGAGAATAAGTATTTTAGACCCTTAATATTTACTAGTTTTGTAGCCATTTTTTGAGGATTTTAGAATGTAAGGCATACCTAATGCTTTCAGCATAACTGTTCCTTTTAAAGACCCTTCCTTCAGTTCAGAAAAACTGTCTGAATGTCTGTTTTCAAGTGTGGGATTTGTGGTCTTTGTTAGAACATTCTAATTGTCTACATCTCTTTTTCCATGCTGAATGACTATCATTAATCACACTATGCAAATTATTCATGCAAATAAGCAAGCCTTTTTTCAGCCTGACAATTTTATTATTATTACAAAAGAAAAGTTTATCTTTTAAAGCTTATAGTGTGCAGATGATCAAATAGAAAGAATAGTATCCAATAATCCTACCATAAATGGGCTGAGGGATAGTATGGTGAGCTGGGTTGCATGTTTCTATTTGAAGCTTTTTTATTCCTTAACTTTTCCCCGTTTGTTGTATTTAGTGTGTTGTGTACTAATCAGTAGCAAAGATGTGTCTTGCAAATGAAAAAGAGTGTATGGTTGTCCTAAGTGCCACTTCAGTATGTGCTTAGTAAAATATTTCACTTGATTTTCCTATGACAATTGTATTGCTGTTATCATGCCTTTTGGCAAGAAGTGCTGTGAGTATTCGTGTATTTCCTTCCCCTTTTTTTAGGTCCTTGTCTGACATAACTTTGGGGAAAATGCTTATCTTCTGTTGTAGAGCATCTTAAAAGTTTGAATAGCAGCAAGCCCAGATTGTATTTGCAATTACTGCTCTTGTGCTTGTGATCAGAAGAAGAGACAAGATTTGTAGAGAGAAGTAATAATTTTAGTTATGAACTTTCTTTGACCTCTCCACCTAGTGTTGTGATCCACGAACATTATTTTTAAAAATATATATTTAACTTTTGTAGTCCATTTGGCATAGTATTAGTACTAAATCCTTTTGCACCTGTGACTTTAGTTTTTTATCACACTAGGTGAGAAAAGGAAATCAATAAATGCTCATTGCCTTCATATTGTTTTTACATACCTTAAATTATAAGACTATATGTTTAAAAATTACAAATATACGTACTAACCAAAATGCTTATATCAGTGTGGCTCTTGAATTATTCAAGTAGACAGAATTCAAATGTCAAAAATAGAAAAAGCCAGCGGTGTTAAAACGTTAGAAATCTGTCACTAAATTGCACAAGTTGCAATTTAAGATATGATTTAGTATAATTCTGTCAATAAACTTTTGTTAATGCTGTGATGTCACTTTCAATTTCATTCATTCTTCTCCCTGTCTGTCTTTTGAAGTCCTCTGATTTTTCTGATCAAAGTGAAACTGCTGCTGACTATTTTAGTCGTCCCAACCGCAGGGGAAGCATCGTTTCTGATGCGGATGATGCCCAAGGTTTGAATAGTGTGAGTGAAATGCTTGATATTACCTTGTGGTGAATGCAGCAAGCTTAAACGTCCTGGATTTTTGTTTTTGTATTTAAGAGGAAAGAAATATTGTAGAAGAGCTTGGATTATGTAATGGCAGATGGCTTTGAGTTGGATTGCTAGGGTTTATTTCAAGCCAAATGCTGTTTTTAATATAAAAATGTCAGGAGTCCTTGAATTTCATTTCAACTATTTTATATGTAAATAGTCACATTTGTGAAAAAGATATCTCACTAACATTTAGTGAGGATGAGACCAGGCTGCATCATTCATGTTTATCAAGTACAAGGAAGTTCCACATGAGAAGTCGTTGAATTTCAGGGACTCCTTTCCATTTGACTCTGCATGCTGCTTGTGTGTTGAAGAACTTCTGCCTGTTGCTTGAAGCACGTGATAAACACTTTACACTTTTTGTTGTGTGACTGAAGCATCTCTGAAATGTAAAAATACTTTTGGTGAAAATTAATGTATGAATTAGTGTCTTGTAGAGTTTTTATGTAAATTTGGACTCCTAGTTTTATATTCTTGGAGGTGTGTTCTCTTTAGTACTTGTTAGTGTTCTTTCCACCAAGAAGCGCACTGCTGACAATAAACACAGCTGCCTCTTTTTTGCTACAGGTAGTACTAGAAATAGCTCTATTACCTGATAATGATTTTGTTTATTTTAGTATAAATGACAGGAATATTTCTATTCTTATGCTTGCCTTTGAAGGAAGTAAAGGTAGGAAATAGGCTTAGAGCCTTAAATCTTGGAAAGTTAGAGCGTTGGACTTGGAAAGTTATGTAGTCTGGCATTGGACATTTTCTGAGTGTCACCAAGAGACCTCCCTTTAGGAGATGCTTGTTTCTTGAATTGGAAATCTTTATGGAGCAAAGGCAGTCTAAGTTCTTTCTCAGACTAAGGTGTATGCAAAAGATGGGGAGAAAAGGAAGAAATTACATGGTGGAGAGTTTATGTAGTGCTTCACTTTTTTTTTTTTGGTCTTCTACATGCATTCCAAGGCCCGCGTACTGACAGTATTGCATCTATGTATTTTTTTCAAGTATCCCAACACCAGCTTTTGGTCAGGTGGGCTACCTCTGCTCCTTTGCTTTCAATAACCTATAGAAAGGGAACGATTGCCAGTGTTTCAGTGACACGTGATACAAGCCACAGTGACTACCATTCTATACCAACTTTGCAAAGGTAGAAACTTTCTCTTTAGCTGTGGATCCATCTAGCTGATTTTCTTAGAAAAAGTCAGTACACGTTCCTAAGCACTTGGTTTCCTCTATTTGAGAGAAAAAGAGAAAGTTAGATGGATCCACAGCTAAATTGAACTGTTGGCCCTGGTCCTGCTTTGGGAGGGAGGCCAAACCAAATGACTTCCCCAGTGCCCTTGCAGGCACCGTTCCTGTGATGCAGCTTTTAGGTGGTACTTAATGCTGCAGAGCTCATATTATAATGATGCAGGATATTTATTGTCTGTGTTCCAAGCGTAAGAGAGGCCAGTCATTTCTCTAGTTTAAATTCTAGTTTTTTCTCCTCCCTCTACAGTAAAGCTGCTTTCCTGGAACCTAGTGCTCTGCTAAGGGGGCGTCGAGACCAAGATTGGCAATGACAGTAATTTTGCAGTTGCTTTTCTTCTTGTAGTCATTGTTATTTTAACTTATTCCATATAGATATTTCATAACAATAGGATTCTTCACATCATTTTGTCATCACAGTGGTGAGAAATATTTATTGTTTACAATTTTAAGACATTGTTGGAGACTGCTGATTTGTTAATGAAAAATTATATTGCTCCTGTACAAATCATAATAGCAGGAAAAAGAAAGATCTCATGGGGTGGGCTTGTTTCTGCATTGGTTGGGGCATGCTTCCAAATCACTTGGGCTGGAGAAAAGTCTTTGGAGAAGTGAGGTAATACAGCAGTCATGCCAGTATTAGAGCATATGTCAACTTACGGATGTCATTTTACACCATCTATTTTGATTCACAGAAATGTTGGAGGGAAAACTGTAATGAAAGCTGATAATATCAGAGCTTCCTAGCTAAAAAGTTCGGGGATATATTTAAGTTTTTTCTCTTGCTCAAGCTTCAACACTTAAAACATGAGCTGCAGTTGTTTAGTAGGTTGCTGTTAATACATTTCAAGCATGTATTCACTTGCCTTGTTCTTGTCCTGATGTAATTGCTGGTTTTGCTGAAGAGTTTGGAGTAATGAGCGTGTTTCCTAACGCCTGACATGCACACGGGCGTCACTTGTAACCTAAACTGCACTGCGGAAAGATTTCCATTCGTTATGCCACCAAGTGTTGCAATCACTGCTGAAATATGAGATGCTGAAACATTTTTGTTGGGCATTACACTTTGATTTTTTTTGATTGTCTTGTAACAATTTCTTCTTTAAAGTTGCTGAGTTATATGCATTTACTTAATATTTAAAGTAAAAATTTTGCAGTTAGTTAAACTACCCTTCCAGGCTGACTTTTTTTCCCCTCTCCCCTTCTCCCCGTTTTGCCCCTTCCCCCTCCCTCTCAGTATTTACTAACTTTTTTTTTTATTTGTTTCTTTCTTTTTCCTGAAATATTTCTCAGTGTCTGAGAAATTCACTGCAGAAGATGCTGCTTCCTGTAGACCTTAATCACAGCAGGTATATTGTAATTATTTTCCTTTTTCTCTTTCAGCTGGAAGAAAAGAGTGAAAAGACACATTTGGAAATTTATTCAAGGGTAAGAGCTCTTAATTTAAGTATTATTGAAGATCAGTGTTCAACATTAATTCACAAGCTTTGAAGTAGTTCCAAAAGTTGAAATGTTAGGTGTTTTTAGTAGAGTGTAATTTAGTTATTTCATAGACCTTGCAAAGTGATATCTTTGAACATCTCTCTACTAGGAATTAATGGGCTTTGCGCCTTTTATTTACCGAGAAATTTTTATTTACTTTTAATAACGTTTCTTATAAGTCATTCTTTCTACAAGGAAATAGCAGAAAAGGTTAATTTTTAAGAGAACAGGGTTGTAAAAATTTGGATAATGAATGCTGTTGGAGACATTCTTGTGAATGCTGTATGGCAGCAATTGTAACTTTAAGAAGTGTTTTGAACTTTCATAGTTTCCAGTACTAACAGCTCCCACATGGCAGTGTTCAGAACAGAACAGTCAAAATAAAATTGAGATGTTAGGATGAGCCATCTAGATTTTCTCTGTGCTGTTATATAACCTTAGTGCTCTGTTAGCTTCTTAGAAATAAAGCAGGTATCACCGAAGAGAAACCAACACTAAGAAAACCTAAGTGTTGGAAAGTAATCAATGGAAAATACCGTCTGTAACCTAGCATTAATAAATGGTAGAAGAGAGAGGAAAAAGGTGTCTTGTGACTGTGTAATAATTCATAAAGAATAAGGTCAGATCAGCAATAGGAGGTCGCTCCCTCAGAAATCACGATGTGGTGCCTGATACGTTGTCTTCCACTTTTTAAGCCGTCATCTCGCAATTCAATAAGTGCAACTCCTCTAAGTGGCAACTCGTCCAGGAGAGGAAGTGGAGACACGAGCAGTTTGGTGGATCCTGATGCCTCCCTAAGTGAACTACGGGTAAACTGCCTTATTGGAGAATTTGGAGCTAGTTTAAAGTCATATCTGTTACTATGAAGAATTTTCTTTGCTCTTGGGCTTCTGTCTTCCCTTTTTTTTATAGAAAAAGTTATGGAATGTAGCTTTCAGTCAGAGGAGAGACATATATATATATATGTCATGATAATTATATTGGTTGTGTTCATAAATATTTGTAGTGCTAATGTTTTGACTTTTATTAAAAAAAAAGTGTATATCAAATTTGAAATAGCTTTTTGCTATGTCTGAAAAATTTAAGTTCCCTTGACTTGGATTCAGTGCTATAAACAAAATCTTAATTTTCTTCCGGTTGAGCATTGTGAATTAAATATAACTCCTGAGAGTTACTGCAGGCTTTGGCATTTGACAGAACTGCATGGAAACCTTTTTAATGCTCGTTCAGCTATAAATTCTTTCCCCGTACTACTTATACAATGGTTCATTCCTATGTCCTGCAGGATATCTATGATCTTAAGGACCAGATACACGATGTAGAAGGGAGATACATGCAGGGACTTAAAGAACTGAAGGTATCAGGGCTTTTTCCAAGCATGCGTCCGTGGGGGTTCTGTGGGTAATGGAGGTGGCACTGGCTCCCCTAACCATGCAAGGCTTTACTAACTAGCTTGTTTAATTTCTTTAAAGCATGTGTCTAACATTTAATGCTTAGAGCACATCATTATTTGTCGTGTGGGTAAATTTTTAAGATACACTGTCTCACTGTACATTTAGAAACAAATGCTGTTTATTTGGCTTATATTAAAATAGTATTAAATGTTCTCCTAAGCAGGTGTTTTCTGGTAGGATGATGAGATGCACTCTATATTTTTAGTGTTTTGCAGTGTTAGCCATTTAATGGGAATTCAGAGTAATTGGATATTGAAGGGGGAAGAGAAGTGGGATAAGTCATGACCTTAACTAAGAAATGTAGACTTCCAACTTCAGAAAATACTGAATTCTATAATTTCTATAAATTCTATGAAAATCAAACCAAAGTGTTATTTTAGAAAAATGCAAGTGTCTACTCAATTAGGAATTTATAGTTAATCTATGTTATTATTATTCTGTTCTGTGTTGAAGGGAGATTCAATGCAGCAAGTGATGTGACTAACAATATTTTTCAGTATAGTTGTTCTATTCTCTTTTCTTTTACCAAGCTATGAATAGTTCTGTGTAAAACCAGCGAGTTCTAAGAATATTTTTGTATATTCATATAGAGAATGAATTTAATACTACTTGTCATTAAGTAGTATAACAACAAATCAACGTCCTCCTTGAATTCCTTTAATATAATATTGAATAGTACGGTCGATGATTGAAATGATATATACAAAATTTCCCTCTCTAGAGTATAAGTAACCATGTTTGAATGTGGTAGTTAGAGGCTCAGATATAGTAATATGGTCAAAAATATACTTTATATTACATGGATTTCAAAAAGCAGAATTGTCACAAAGCTGTTTTTTTCCTAATACTACCAAATTCCATAGTGCTTTTAAAGCTTCCCAGAACAGGTTTGAGGGAGAGTTGCCAGATTTTTTAGAAATAGATATGATTGCATTAACTTTGAATGAAGAGATGAGATGGCCTTGTGATTCCAAACAGCAAACACTTGTGCCCGTTGGCCAGCGTGGCCGGGCTGCCCTTGGAGTCCTTTCTAATGCACGGCCCATTTCACGCAGTTGCACTCCCCAAAGAGCGCGGTGTGCTGCGCACGGTAAGAGCTCAATGTACCCTTGGCTGGCAGAATTGGTTTATATGGTTTTAAATTATCATTATATAAATCATTATAATCAATAATGCTAAATAATAGGGTTGAAAGTTAAATTGTCTTCCGTGGAGATTCTTTGGGGAGCCTTTTTCCTAATTGGGAAGGTTTTCTCAAGCACCATTTTAGCAGTTTTGTGTTGTGTGAGTTGAGTTACTAGGAGAGGTGCCACCTTTTCTGAGACATTGACTAACAGTGACCTGTAGCGGGGCGGCTTGCACATCTCTGTGGTTGTTCATCCGCATCGTGCTAAGAGTTTCTTACCTGGCTTCAGACCTGCTGGCGGTCAGCAAAATAAACTGCAGGAGGATCATTTTGACTTTGTCAGTTGTTCAAATCTCTTTATGTCTCTTGATTCATCTGTTTTGCTGACTCCATCCACTGTCCCATGAATCAGCCAGAAAGAACTCCTCCTTTCCTCAGATTTTCTCTTCCTTTTTCTACGTTTAAATTTTATCACTTGTTCATTTTGTGGGACTCTCAATCCTTACTGTTTTTCACTTAACTAAAGGTGACTGAACCTCCATGGGGTTTTGCAGCGTAGGGCACGTTTTGCAAGTCTCTTCCTCAGAAGGAAGGAACTGCTCCAAAGAGACCTTATTAATGTCCCAGTTCCCTTTCATAATTTTTGACATTTAGACAAAGCTTGGTTTCTTTTTCAAAAGTATAATTCCTATTTTTCTGTCTCAAAATGAATTTATTAAAGGAAATGGTTTAATCCTTTTTAACTCTAAAACTAGGGCTCTATAAAACTCAATTTTTGTATTTTGAAAATAGTTCATATTGCAGTCATTGCATATTTAAAAGTGCATGAAATAATAGTTGCTCCTATATCCAAATAGTTTATATTTGCTGCAGTTCCAGGGGAAAAAGTAGTATAAAATTGTGATGGTAAATGCAAGAGATGATAGAATTAGCTAAGTGGCGTTAGCGAGACTTGTTGTAGAGGTAGAGAGGTTGAATAAGTAAATCTTGATGTATTTCTCTATCTTCAGAAGATTTGTATTTAGGCTGGGATTGGGGGAGGAGTATGGAGAAAGCATTATCTTACTATGAAATAAAGACATCAAGTCTACTTAAACAGCTCGTAATAATACTTACTGGAAAAAAAGGATAAAAAAAATTACCTGAAAACTTCAAATCAGAATTCTAGAACTACATTTAAATAATGAGAATTGTTTTTAAACTACCCTTAAAGATATTTCTGCCATCTCTTGTCATTTGTTTACATGTGTGAGTTCTCTTTATGTTACATTTGTTGCTGCATTCTGAAGTGTTCCCTTGCATGTATCGAAAATGCAGCAAAGCTGTGTATTATTTAATTGTTTCTGTAATTTAGTAGTTATGAAGGTGGCAAAATACAGGTGAAATATTTGGTAGTTTTCATACGTTTGCTGTAACTGTCATTGCTGGCTATGGCATAACCTGAGTAGTGGAAATGACCATGACTTTATTTCTCTAAAGAAAAGACATGAATTCAGAAAAAAAGGATGTCAGCATCACTTTATTGTACAAGAGATAACACTCCTGAATGTTGTGGAGGTGTGATAACGTTACAGTGATTCATCCAAAAGCTAAGGCTCATGTGAGGCTTTCTGCTGTTTGTAGGATTCTCTAGCTGAAGTTGAAGAGAAGTACAAGAAAGCGATGGTGTCCAATGCTCAACTAGACAATGAGAAGAACAACCTGGTTTACCAAGTGGATATTTTAAAGGATGTCATTGAGGAGAAAGAAGAACAGATAGCAGAGTTCTACAGGGAAAATGAAGAGAAGTCAAAGGTAGTGTGGCTGTTTTGAGTTTTGGGGTTTTTTTTTTTTTGAAGGGGAGAAAATTAGAACTCATAAATCTTTTCTTCCATTGTAAATGTCACTAGATAAAATTGTCCATATAGCAAGTATCTAGAGAATTTAGTCACCAAATGTGTGAATTTTAGCTATTAGATTGTTTGAATTAAACGATTGCAATAATCTCTTTGGTAATGTTATGTTAAGCAAGCCTTCACCCCATTTTTTATTGGAGATGTTTCTCAAATCCAAACTAAATCATGCCTCCTGGTATTTATAGGAATTGGAGAGGCAGAAACACACATGCAGTGTTCTACAGCACAAGCTGGATGAACTTAAAGAAGGCCTTCGACAGAGAGATGAATTGATAGAGGTATGTTCGTCTTGGTGCATAATAGTATGTGTGCAAATAAAAATGGTCTAAGATTTGCATAGGTACAGTCTTTCTATGTGCAAAATTAATTTCATTATCAACTTGGGCTTGTTGAGAAAGAATTTTTCTAATTTTAGTGAGACGAGTATAAACTGTTAATCTCAGATTCTGAAGTCAATAATGTCACTACAAGATTTTCGAAAGTGTATTGCCTATTGTAAAATCCTTAATTCCTGAAAGAACGCTGGTTCTGTCATCAATGTTCCCTTTACTTTTTCCCTCTTTGAGGGTAGAGCTATTGTCTCCATTGCTCAAAATCTCTTTAGGCCTAGCCAAACGTTCTGATGCGCTGATAATGCCAGGGATCCTTCTTGGTTGGTATCTTCTCCCCACCAAGTTCTTGTGCTATACAAGCGGTAGCTCAATGAGCTCAGAGTCTTTAGAAAAAGCCCCAGAGATGCAGGGGATGCTGAGAAAAGGATCAAGGGCATGAGCTGGTGTTGGTGTGATTTACAAGCAGAAGGGAAGGACTCGGAGCAGCCAGAGTAGCAGCAGTGTGCAGCAGACGGGTGCTCATAGGCAGAAAACTTCCACACGTTCCCTTTGAAGCTCCGTCACATTCTCTGGAATCTCCTCGACTTCACTGCCAAGAAGAAACTTTCTGCTTCAGCATGAGTTGTATGGGTGCTGGGCTTCAAGGTGAAGGAATGAGGAATACGCAGCAGATGGTTCTGGAGTGTTTGCTTTGGTAGCACGCAGCATGGGCATTGAATAGGTGCACACAGCCCGTTCACATGTACCCAGATTTGTTTGTGCAGCTATTCCAAATAACCTAGCTGAAGGCAGTTAGGAGACTGGTTCTTGAAGAGGGCATCCTTTTCCACTCCCAAATGTTAAAATTAAGTTTAGTTTTGGGGGAGTGCATAAAAATATCTCTAGCCCTATTTTTCCTGTCCCAGTGTCGTCTTCTGAGTTTTATTAACATTGTCTTACAAATATCCTTTTTATTTACGGGTTAAAAGGTAGGTTTGGTTTTATTACATCAGTAGAAGATGTTTGTTTGTATTTAACATTGCTGGTAGAGAGATAGAGGGAGGTCTCTATCTAGAAATCAGTTAAGGTCCTTTCAATAACACTCAATCAAAAAATTAAAGATGGCTAATTCTGTGGCAATTAACTTTCAGATGTATTTCAATAGCTTAGGTGGTTGAATGTGAAAGCTGTTTTTATGTACATATGTATCTATATGCTTGTGGCTCTCCTGCAGGCTTTAGTCTGTGAACAAGATGGTTTCTGTTTGGTTTTTAAATGGCAGAATCTTGGAAGTAGGGGGTTGGGGGAACTCACTTCCATACAGTTCTTGTTGGTATATGGAAATTACTGCAAGGTAATTATTTTTGTAAAGAAAGGATGTTATTCTCAGTTTGAGATTTGTTACTAATAAGTAAATAAAAGCAGTTCCAGCTGTAGCTAAATTTTCCCATCAACAGTAATTCAATAAAATCACAATTCCGCATAAATTTCAAGAGACCCCAGGTTATAGTGGGTTGCATCCTTTTTCTTTTATGTCATGCTCATAAAGCCTTTGGTTGACTCCTACTGTATACTTTCCTTTATCTGTTCAGACATTTTTTCCCATTTCTTTACTTGTCTTTTTCTTCTTTTATTCTGTCTTCATCGTATTTGCTACAGGAGAAGCAACGAATGCAGCAGAATATAGACTGCATAACCAAAGAGGTGTTTGATCTCCAGGAGACAATTAATTGGAAAGATAAAAAAATAGGGGTATGGAATGATATGAGGGGAAGGTATTTTTTTGTTTTTAGAAGTAGACTGGTACTTTTTTTTTCTCCAAGGAATACTGTGTACACCAAAGAAACAAAGGCCACCTCAATTGGCAAAATGCTTTAAATGTCTAAATCTCTCTCCTCTTTAGAGAAAGGAAAAGAAATGAGCTCCACTTTATGTTTATTTATATAGTGGTGAATAGTGCTAACCAAATCTACAACATAACAAGTCCCTATGCATACAGGTCTTACTGCTTTTTTCAAAGAAATTTTATCTGTAGTATGAGTCCTAAAAAGTCAGTTTCCTTCATCCTAACAAATGTGAAAGATAGCTGGGTTCATGTGTAGGATATTTGTAAAATTTTTGAAGTGATTTTTCAAGTTTTTCATCCTCATAGAGACAAATGCAATTTGTGAAACTTCCTGTGCAGTCACCTGGCTGGCGCCGTAGGTGGAATTCCCCTGCAGCTCCCTTGGCAGAGGCTGCCGGGCGGGAGGGGACCCGGGCAGCTGCCCTGGCAGCTCTGGGGCCGCTCGCCTGGGCCAGGGCCGCCCCGGAGCCACCGCAGCTCTGGGCCCCTTGCACTCGCCGCTCTGGGGTTAGAAAGCAGAGTCCTGCCCTAGGAACTGCACCGGCATCGCCTGCCACCAAATGCATTTGATACCAGAAGTTTCTCTCTTCTGTTGCAACTAGCAGAATACTGCATTGATGTATTGCTCTAACATGCATTTTGGACAATTATTAAAATTCAGCGTACTGCAGTTGTCATGGGGAGCAATTTCAATACAGTTACCTTTGTTTCTTTCGTGGTATCAGTCTGTTCCTAAACATTCCTGCATGATGCAATGTTTAGTTAGATGTGTTTTGGGGGAAAAACGTGTGCACCTTTTTGCAGTTATCGTGGACAGGACTGTTTGTAGTGCATGCAGTGGGAAATCTGCCTGAAACACAGGGATGCTGCCGATTCAGCTAGAAAGGTCTGATTGACTCCTAGGGAGCAGAGCCGCAGGGTAGGTGTGCAGCCAAACCTGTGCCCATATTGTGCTTTTAGCTGATGCTCTCTTCTGCTAAGAGAGGCTGTTGGCTTTGGGGTTTTTTTTTTTCTTCACTCTCTGAAAATGGTTGTTTTTAGTACAGAGTGGCTATGACACTTCGACAGTGAATACACTAGTCTTATTGGGTGGATGCCAGGCTCATATAGCCAGGTTCTTTTATGAGTTATGTTTCCTACTTTGTGGCCTGTAAGTGCCACTGGTACCATGGATGTGATGCTTTAGGATTGTTGTCACTTGAGATCCAGTAAAATGTTAAATAGCCACTCTACAGCCTTATTTATAGCCGCTCTTCTTTCTATATATAGAAAGAAGAATACGTATTTATTATTTTAGTGTTTGATTTAGTTAGAAACTATCAAAAAGGAATCTATTAAACAGGTATCTACTGTGAGCCAGTACAGCTGTCGCAAAAAGCATGTAGCAATGAGGCTAGATAGGTGACTCCTTGTAAAGGATAGCTGCCAAAGTTAGATATTTATATGTATTAATTAGATTCAGTTCACCTTCTGATTTCTTTTGCTCAGCTCTTTGTATTTGTGTGTGGAAGTTCTCTCTGCTATCTGTTACATGCTTTTTCTCCGTGCCATTCTCTTCCTTGCCACGTGCCCGCTCAGGCCCTAGAGAGGCAGAAAGCTTTCTTTGACTGCGTTAAGAAAGAGCGAGATGAGCTCAGAGAGGAGCTGGCTGACCTGAAGGAGGCCGTGAGGAGAGGAGAGGTACGTCGGTAGGAGCTACCTGGAGTAACAAAGATCCAGGCGTGGGGGCTGCGATCAAAGTCAATGTAAAAGAGCAGTTAATGTTACACTCTTGCACAGCCTCAAAACCTGGCCTTTAGGGTAGGCTAGATTGAATCCTCTGTGTCACCATTTCCAGTAACTTGAAAAGCCCTTTAAAAACCCTTCTGCTGAGTTGTATTTTAGTGCTCTGGTGTGAATGCCGTGTTTCTCTTTGTGTTTTTTAGAAGCACGGATTAGTTATAATTCCTGACGGCACCCCAAACGGGGATGTCAACCACGAACCGGTGGTTGGTGCAATAACAGTCGTATCACAAGAAGCTGCCCAAGTCTTGGAATCTGCCGGAGAAGGACCACTAGGTAAAACATCCTCAAGTAATAATGTAGTAAGAGTTTATGAAACCTTTGTCTGCCTTCTGTTCTTTTTAAGCTGTGGTTTGCAGCCACAGAAGGACATCTGTGGTGCTCCTGAGATACTTGCTGTACTACTCTGAAGATTTTATTGTATTTTTTCACATGACTGTTTTATGAATAAACATATATTTCGTTGGACTAAATATAATGAGATATGCCAGGATGCTTGTGGCTGATTAAGTCTCTTTATTCATGTTGGCAAAATGTATAAGATTAGCCTAAAAGTGTAAGATTATTGAATCCTTTGATTAATATTTTCCATTGTTTTTGTGACAAAACATGACAAAACTTTAAAAGCATGCATCATCAGTGAGAGAGGTTCTGCAGAAAACAGTGCCTTGTATATTCTTTGCCCTTTTCATTGCCTTTTCTTTCCTTAGAAAAACCTGCAATACTTGAAAAGTAACGTGGATACCAAGAAAAGGGATTTGGAGAGGCCTTTAACTTGTTTTTCATTCTAAAGTTGAACAAGCTGTTGTGCATATAGTCAATCCCCTGCAAAACTTTAATTTTTCAAATCGTGAACGTGCAAGAAAACATTCTTATAAGCTCGCATATCTTTGCACAGCACATACAATAATTTAATATATTTGCTTTAATTAAAAATCAGGCTCAATTAATGTTTCTGACACGGTTCCATCATAGCAAAGTACAAACGTTATCTTTATGCCTTGTTTACCTCCAAGTAGTAAGTTCCAAGCGAGCGACTCTAATCTCAGCCCCGAACTGTGTGAGAGGGTATTTTGTAGCCATTATTGGTCTTCTGGATATTTGAGAAATTGAAACATGGCTTTGGGCCCTTTCTCCAGTGCTTTTTTTGTGGTTTGAGAACACAAATAATAAAAGCTTCTGCAAGCAGGTGGGAGGCCTTAGTGCCTTCCCTGAAGACACAGCAGGCTTTAAAAGTGAAGCAAAGGGAAGAGTGTACACTGCCATTAAGAAAACTGTGCTGGAAATAGCTGGGTTAGATGTTTGAATTATAAAACAGTTTTGTTCTGAATCTAAATTTGATCAAAGGTAATCCTCAGTTGACACTCAGTTGTTAGTGAATACTTGCAACATTTGGAAGTCTTGTTTTTAAAATCATTATAGTAATAACCAATGAATTAAATATTTTCCCTTTTTCTACTATTAACTAGAGGCTGATATTATTTAAGAAATCAAAGTATTCTATTCTTATGTAAACTTTTTTGTTTAGATTTGAAGAGCATTTTACTTTCCAGTTTAAGAAAATTGTGACATTTTTACTTATAGATTTCTCTTATTTTTAACTGGTTTACTTTGTTTTAGATGTGCGGCTACGAAAACTGGCTGGAGAAAAGGAGGAGTTATTGTCCCAGGTAAAAAAAAAAAAAAAAAAAAAAAACAAACAAAAAAAACAAGCAATCCTTTTCAATCAAAATTGCTGTAAAGGGATATTCAAATGTGCCCCCTTTTTAATAGTGTGTCTCCCAGCATATAGCAACATGCTAACAATAAATGCTAAGGTGCCTTAAATATTAAAGTGTTAATATAAAATACTCGCTTCCAGCCTGGCTGACTAGTGGGAATTATCAGCTCCATAATTATCTTAATTGTCATAATTATCGATGTGACCTGGTTCTGGGTTGGTGAAGGAACCACATGTCAGAACCTGGTTAGCTGAAATCCCACTTGCTGTCACCAGGAGAAAAAGAAAAATAAATGCTGTCATAGCAACAGTTCCTTGCATGGACTCTAAGTTATTTCTTTTCTTTTGTTCTGTGCCAAAATACTGAATTCAGTGAGCTGACATCCTCACAAGCTTAAGAGGCTCTTCTTTCCATGTTAACATTCCTTTCATCACTTCAGTTACTCAGATGGAAAATAAAATATTATCAAAGTAGTTGTATTTTAATGCAGTTTAGGATTGAGAAGAGTGCTCAAGAAATCTGAAGTCCAGCAGGCTTTTGTTAAGAACAGCATCGCTTCTGTGCATCCAGCTAAAAATACCTCAAAATTAAAGTGATGTCAATATCTGTTTTTGCTGGGAGTACGACTTTAATTCTGGTGTTTGCTGAATACCCAATTCTGGTATTGAATTGTGATTATTAAATATTTTATATGTGTATTTATGTGTATGTATATATATATATTTTAATGGACCTTTTATGCTTTGAGTATGCTATATCACAAGTGGGAGTTTTGCAAATATAATTGCCATACTATTGATCTGTAGGGCAATATTTTGCTTAGGGAGAGTCGACAAAACAATTCCCACTTCCTTCATGGACTCCAGGTATAGAGGACATAGCTGAGGAATCGGTGCTCCATGACTACTGGGAAAATTCCTGAGAGAGCTCCTGTAGCCTAAAGCCAGCAGCATAGGAGTAGCATGCACTGCAGACCTATCCAGGTAGAACAAAAGAGAGGACATCCCCCACCCTCAAAAGCTATGGATTATTTTTGCTGTAAACTCACTAGGATGTTACTGTTTAGAGTGGAAAAGGAATCCTTTGGAGGAACTCCAAGGAGACAGGACTCAAGTCCTTTGAACGTGCTGCCGGGAAGGCAGCCCCTTCGGGTGCCTCTGGTTGCACGGAGGCCCCGCAGCGCTGCCCGAGGCGCTGCGCTTGGGCAGCACGGAGCACCTTGGCCAGCAGCGGGACACCAGTGCCGCACTCGGGCACCAGCCTCCCAGCTGCCAAACCCTCTCAGCCAGAGGTGTCTCATGACTGCTTTCCCATTTGGACCCATGGCAAGTTTACATATATGACAACTGAACTGCTGGAAGTTGATTTTTTACAAGATACCGCTTCTGTTTCAGGTTAGAAAACTGAAGATGCAGTTGGAAGAAGAACGGCAGAAATACTCCCGAAGTGATGGCACAGACCCGGATGTAACAGGCTTAGAAAATGGTTCTGACTTGCAGCTATTTGAAATGCAGAGTAGGTACATGGTTGTGGTTCACAAGTATTTTTCTTGTGGGGAGAGGAAACACAGACCCTTCCTACTGTCTTTTCTATGTAGTTGTACAAAAGTAGTTGTAGGAATGAATGAGCACTGAGCAGCTAAGGTTTGTTGGTAAGTCTCCTCTCAGAAAATACCTTACTGTTTCTTCCAACCCCCTCCCCTGTTCCTTCCAACTCTCCCTTTCTTGGGAGGTTATTTTTTAGATGGCAATATTGCTTAGCGTGAATGCCAATACTTGAAAGTTAAAAATATTTAATTGAAAATACTTAATTGAAAAGTAAATTTTACTTGCGAAGTAAATACTCAAACTATTGAAGCTATTAAAACACATACCAAGTATGTGTTTTAATGTTGCTTCACACTGTGTTGCTCCACTCTGAGTGAGCTGTTTCTTCAGCTGCATGTGTTCCTCATCTGACAGACTGTCATTTAACCAGCTTGTTGCAGTTAGCTGGGCAGAGCACTGGCAATGTCAGTACTGAACAGCAGCATGAGAATAATGACCGAGCTTTCGCAGAATCTCCTTGTCAAGCAGGTTCGAGCCTTGTGCTCCTTATCTTCGTTCGCTTTTCCAGATGTCTACACGAAATGCTGTTGCTATTCTCCCTATTTAAGCCAGTTGCAGTGTGTTGGTTACTGTGGTGATTCTCTGCTTCTTTTCCTTTTTTTGTGAAGAATTTACTGATCTAAATGTGCATGTTTTAAAACATCTGAAATTTAATGCAGTCTCGTGTTCTCTGTATTACAGGAAAACTGTTCCCTTTTCTTAAAGACAACTTCCAGAAGAATATTTACCTCCTAATAGTCTGGAATATAGGCTTTTGAATAAAATAATTTTAATGCATTTGATTTCAAATGGAAACTGCCTATTGAGAGGGTTGCATTGAGTAATGTACTTGTGTCTTTTGTCTAGGAGATGCCAATAGACAAATTAGTGAATACAAATTTAAGCTTTCAAAGGCTGAACAAGACATAACTACCATGGAACAAAATGTAAGTATATATTTCTTCAGCTGTATCTGTATCATAGCAAATGGCACTTGCTCTGCTTTTACAAGAATTTTCTTAACAAATGCATGAAAACCTATTTCCTAATTTGATTTACTGTTTGTTTTGTAGTTTACACAAAGGAGCATTACATTGAGATTTGTTTCCTTTTTCCTGCATATCAACCCTTGGGACAAATGGGATTATGGTTCAGCTACGTTTAAAAACACTTAAACGATTATAGCTTGAATTAGAGCTACAGTTGGTTTTACTTGTCTTGCACAGCAGTGGAGTCATAAGCAGAGTGATCATTAGTGGGGCAGGGAGAGGGACACACAGCAAACCAGCTAATGGGCTGAATGCCACAATCCCAGCCCTGCTTCGCCTCTGCAGAGACCCCTCTGCATTCTTAACTTGCCCTGCCTTCTGTGCTCTCTCCCATACCCTGTGCCATTCTCTGCTGTTTCTTGTCACCCTCAGCAGGCAGTGAAGGGCACTGCAAGTTTCTGCCCTCCACTTCATCTGCTGCTTGAACATTTACTACTACTTTTAATCCCTCTCTTTCCAGTCATGGCTGCTGCTAACTCATTTCAATTGCCTCCTTGAAGATTCTGTGCTTAATTTGGAGGTTACCTTGTGGCTTGGTGCTTTTCAGGAGAGGCAGGTGGAGCACCCTATTACATTTTTGTACATTTATTTGGGTTTGCAGATTGGACGACTTGAGGGCCAGGTTGCAAGATACAAAAGTGCTGCAGAAAATGCAGAAAAAGTGGAAGATGAGCTCAAGGCTGAGAAGAGGAAGCTTCAGCGAGAGGTGAGCAGCTTCTGCTTTCAGAGTCACACCAAATTTCAGTTGTGGGCCACTGGCCCTTGTCTCCAACTCCTCGCTTTTTACAATGTTCTGCTACAGCTTCAAAGTGTTCTGAAAAGAGGCCACTAGTATTGCCTCCAGAAAATGACAACTGGAGCACATAAAGTACTCCCAGTTACAGTTTAACATGGCATTTTCTTGAAAGTAAAGATCTAAAATCCCATTTTTTTTCAAAGTGTGATGCTTTGTAGTATTTTCTTTTTTCATAAAAGTTACCAGGAAGCTCCATAGGGATGTGTCAGGTGTCAGCATTTTCCAGGGGAGCTGGAAAAGAGCTGGACTTAACTGTGCTCCTGACTTATTTCCTCTGTCAAGACCTCAGTTGAGCTTAAAGTGATAACTTTTGCTTTCATGTTATAGTTACGAACAGCACTGGATAAGATTGAAGAAATGGAGATGACCAATAACCACTTGATGAAAAGGCTGGAGAAGATGAAGGCAAATCGGACTGCGCTTTTATCTCAGCAGTGAAGTGAAAATAAAAGAATACTGTGCACTGCTCCTTGAATAACTAGCCCCTAGCTTGTTTTTAAGTACAGACTGTCATTGCCACAAACTGTTGGAACACTGAGCTGTTCAATAGTTTTTAGTTTCATAATTAAATGGCATCATTTTTCTGTAACTTATGAGAGAATGAGATGTAGGTTGAATTCCCCTGTGAATGACAGCAGTTTTTCCGTAGCGTTTGATTCTAGAGTCAGAGCTGGAGCACGATGCTGTATGATTGACTTAGCGATAGCAAATGTTTTCACAACTGTGGAATCAAGTTTACTCACGATCTCTTTTGGCTGCTTAATGATGCTTGATGCTTGGAGACAACTGCATGAATTCAAAAGACACTGTAATACTGTATTATAAACTAACAACTATATTTGCTCAAGACATCACACAGCACAAGTGCCTTTTATATGGTGCAATTTAGTCTTCAATGACGCTAGATTGTTGAAATAACCTTTGAAATCAGATAACATTTTATTTTAAGATACATATGGGGTATTCACTAAACTTTATACATTTTGAAAATGCTTTTTTGTAAAATATTTAAATTTATAAGAAAATAAATAGGGACTGTACATAAAAATCTGCTTTTTTTTGTTTTTGCATGGGCACCTCTGAGTTCGAGATAATTTTGTCAAATAGTAGCGCCCGATACAGGAGTGTAAGAGTATCTTATACTCTTATCTCTGTAAGAGTACAGATTTAAATCCTTGTGTTACACACTATCAAGTTGTGCATCGTCTGCTGCTTAAGTGTGAACTGAAATGTTAGGTGGGAGGCAGGGGGTGGGATATGTGGCTAAGGAGGTTATTAAATGGACACTTTACTGACCAGAAAAGGCGTTTGTTTTCTTTTAAACTCCTGAGTTACCAACAGGATAGAACAAAGTTGTAACACTGAATGCCCATCTTTACATTCTTAAGTATCTTTTCCATCTCTTTACAATAGTGATTTTGGCTGTAGCCCACGCTTGGTGGACATGAAGTGCTATTATGAACTTGCCTTCTTTTCCAGGTGGCATGTAGCAGGTGACAGACTTGTTGAATTACCCTTCTGAATCAGCTGAAGTTGGGCTATGCAGTGTAAGACTTTGTTTCAGGCCAGAAAGAGCCCAGCACTTGATTTGAGAGGAATTAATCCTTTAGACTGAAACCAGATGTTTTTCTGTAGCAAATCTCTCTCCAGGAGTTCCCAAGGCAACACAGGTTTCAGGCTGTTTGCGAGCAATGGCCTTAGTGCTTCTGCTTCTATCCCAGCTACTTTCCTTTTTCACAAAATTTAAGTACTTTCATGTTTGGTTTCTGTGCTAGATGCCTCTTAGACTTACAGGAAAGTTGCTTTCCAGGGGGAGACTCATTTTTCAGTGTCTTAAAAGGACTGGCTCATAGATTAGTGGTAACATAGATCATTTTTTGTTAAGTGCTGTATAGTCACTTTGGGGGCTTATTCTAAACCATTGGAATGGCTTGGAATATCCATTTGGGGGCTTGAGTTCTTAAGTTGTGTATTCTGAGGATAGGGGATACTCATGAATACACAGCTTCTGCTGCTGCCTCACTCACATAGAGGGTGAAGCATGTTTGCTTCCGTTAACCAGCCCGCTTGGGCTGGACCATGCTCCTGAAGGATGGTTTCTCTTCAGGATCCTCCTTGTGAGAATAATTGTGATATTCCAGGATTCTTGTATGACCCCAGGAAAGGTCAGGGCCCAAGTTAAAGCTCTAGCTTCATTTCAGCTGGGCTTTGACATAGCTAAAATAATTTTTTTATTCCTCAGTAGATGCAAAAAAAAATTGCTTGCAATCAAGTTAGTCTGATATTAAATCCTTTTTTGACAGTTGAGATTCCAGTTTTGTCCTTTGCTAAATAAATAGAATACAAAATGAATGCTTTTTCAGAGGCACAAGTCTCTCTAGCACTTTGTTCAACATCTCTCAAAAACTTTATACAGGTCGGGCAGGTTAGCAAGCTGCAGGATGTTGCCATCTTCTGCAAGGTGCTTAGGAGGCAGCAGATGAGTCCTGGAGGCCTTGAAAACGACGTGTTCCACCGCCCACTTCCAGCCCGTCGAGCCCGAGTCAGAATCCTCAGCCTGAAATACAGGGCAGGAAAAAGGCAAAACTCTCGCTAAACGTGAGCAGCTCTCGGACCTCAGTAATAGAGAACCTACATCAAGTGTACAAGTAACACCAGATTCCTAAGTTCTGACTCCTCTTTTTAGTGGTATCACAGGTGGAACTGGCTGATTTGACTGAGTGGTTAGACTGTTAGCAAGATGCCCTGCCCAGACTGTATCTTCAAGTGTACTTGTATCTTAACTCCACAGAGGCTTATCCGAGCTCAGCAGGTTAGAAACCCTGGCCTCTAAGAAGCCTCAAAGCTAGTGAGTAGTGAAGTAGTGAACATGCTACAACACATGATACTACAATTCTTCAGATCACCTAAGCCTAACATATCCTTTCAGATTCCTGCTGCCTTTCTGCTTGATTCCCTTCCTTTGAAAGTACAATCAGAACTGGAGGTCCACAGCTCAAGTTATATGTTCATATAACTAGTTACATGTTCTCTTACCTGAGAGCTGGTCAGGTTGGTGTCATCTACTATGTACTGCTTCCTAATGGAGTAGAACATGGATAATTCTTTACTTAAGCTTTCAAAACACTCCTTTTCTTCATCCCAGTTTACCTGTTACAAATAAGAAAAACTACTCAAAATATGTGCAGCGGTTAAGAGATAATTTTTAATATGAAAAAACTGTAAGTGGTGGGATCATTTTGATGCAGGTAATGGAACAGAAATAAGATGGGCAGAAATGAAGGCTTTCAAGTAAAAGTGAGTATCTGTTCTCATTAGGTTAGCACTCAGGATGTTATGGTCAAAAGTCTAACCAGTAAGTAACCACAGCAAAGGCGTAAGTATGTTAACAGGAGTATGTTATACTAACATACTAAGTTACTATATACAGAAGTATGTATAACTTAAGTATAACTTCAGCCTTCCATGTGCAACTTGGAAGATAACGTGAATCACTTCTTTCCTAAATGAAAGGGGCATTTGTGAACAAACACCCTCCCTTTTCTTTAGGAAACCTACCTCTGTGGCCAAGCGCAGGATAAACATGGGGAGCCCTTCGAGCGGGGGGACGTAGTTGTCGAGCAGCAGCGGCAATCCCGTAAGGTTCCCCTCCTGTAACACACACTGCTGCTTCCGTAAAGAGAAAAAGTGCTCTCTGCCCTTACAGCAGATGCATCAAAACTGGTCTATTATATACCAGATACTTGTCCTTTTATCGAAACTTAGTGCTCCTTAACAGCATCTGAAATTACATGTTTGTACAGTCTGATTCTGGGCAGGCATCATGGGAAGAAGTTTGGGAAGGTTTCTCTTGGGTTTGTTGTTTATAATATGAGAAGGCCTGGATTTAGACCAGCCAGGTCGGAGATCTGAATTCAGGGTTCCTCTCCAGCTCAAGACACTAACACCATTCCCTCTTCCTGGAAAAACACCCCAGTCACATGAGATTTAGGGCAACAGCACGCTTGCTGAGGGTGTTCTGCTCTACATATGATAAGGGGTGCATGACGTTCTTACTGATGGTCCTTCAGCTGCCCAGCATTATTTCTGAAGCAAGCAAACTCTTGCAGTTACCTATTATCAGCATCTAACATAGTTTAGTCACCTCATCAATTTCGAGAGAGAAATAATCTTTCAGCATTTCCGTCTTCTTCTTCAGAAATTCAACGATGTACTCGGCGAGCCCTTCCTTGGGGCCATCTTCTTCTGTCCAGCCACTTTCAGGGTCTTCTAAAGCAAGCAGGGCAAGCTCAAACAAGGGAGCTGGCTCCTAAAAGCAGAGGAGACAAAACTGGGTAAGAAGCACAAACCTCCTCCTGCTCTTTAAAAATTTGTTTGTTCCTTCAACTATAATCTAATTGTCTCTGGCCCACAAGGGAGCAGTTCTGAAAACAAAAATACTCATTTCTTACTGATAGGATTCTGCAGCATCCACAATTCTATGAAGTGCTTGATAGACTGTAAAGTGCTACTCCCCTTATCTTGTAACTATTTCTGATAAAGATAGGTTATGTATTATTTGTCCCAGTACAGTAACAAGATAACAAAACTCAGTTAATAGCCAAAAGGGAGATTAACAAGGGGCCAGTATCACAGCTCCCAGCTGTAGCTGCAACATTACTAACAGCATTTGCTCCGTTATCGAGGTTCCATTTGACTAAAAAAACACAAAACAAAAAACCTATAAATTATTCTGAGAAAAAAAACAGGCTTGATACTCACAGATAGCCGTAAGATGCCAAAGTTTGCAAAGTCATAAATAAGTATCTGGTAGAAGAGTTCTTGGCTAAATCGAAGTACAAGAGTGAGTTAGTTACATGGGAATGACCACTGCAAGATATGTATGTGAAGAGGGAAAAGTAAAGGTCATTTTGGGAACATCAGAAATGTCTCTTCAGATTAAAATCTTCAGATTATTTTAACTAAACAGTTTACGATTTACATGCTCACCCTGAAGTTGTAGCTACAACTATACTTTTCTGAGCTGATCACTTAATTCCTAGCCTCATGAGTTTTGCACAGGTGACAAGAAAGTGATAGTTGTTCTTCTGTCATTTCTTTCTGCCTCCTAATTAGCTTGGTCACGAGCAGCTATTTCAACTGTGACAAGTCAAACAGCTTCTTTACCTGAGTTTTGTTGTATTGAGAAGGTAGAGTTTTGTCTGGTACTGTGCCAGAGCCCATTGAGGACTGACACAGCCAACAAAGGAGTGATCGTGTAGCATCTCCTGAAGACCTGTAACAATAAAAAACACACACACACACACACACACACACACACATATATATATATTATTCTTAATACCACCAGCCCTGGCCACACAGATTTGGTCGCCTGGGTTTGTAATGTGTCCTTTCAAGGTGAAGATGCCAAACTTCCATTCAGGCACTACTATATAGACCTGTATTACCCGCTACCAATATATGTTTTGAAGTCTTAATCATTTGTGTGTATATACATATAGTTGTATATAATAAAGCATAAATGAGAAGGATTATACAGTAGTTAAACTACAAAGGAAAAATTATTTTAAAAATTCTCTATTGGACTTGAAGAGCATGACTTTCTAGAGCAGTTTCTGGTGAGAGTAGTAAGAGAGTAAAGACATATTTAAAGCAAGGTTGTAGCTGTAGAACAACAAAATATAAGATTAAATTTTGCAGATGTGGCAGATAAGGTCCAAACTTTTTTTTTTTTTTTTTTGCTTTCCCAAAATAAATTTCTAGTCTTCTACTTCATTAAAAAAAAAGATTTGAGAAATGAGATTCCACAGTTGCAGCCTGTTTTAACCTCTCCTCCAAAGACATAACTATTTACAGGCTTTCTTATGACAGCACGGACAAAACATTGAGCTGACCAAGTTTCAGTGTCGCCTTTTCCAAAGCAATACAATATAGCTAAAGTGCATTTCTTTCTTATAGAAGTCACTCTTATGTATTTCTCATACATAAAGACAAGATAAAGCCAGCTGCACAAATTCTACATTTTTTTTTCAGCCCTTATAGCACAGGTACAGCTGTGATTTCAGTGTTTAAACAGCACTAGTCACATGAGGAATGCAAATACAGAATTACAGAATTACCAGCCTACT